GAAACTATCGACAGAGTAAACAACCTACAGAATAGGAGAAAATATTCACAAACTATGCATCTGACAAAGGTCTAATAATCAGTATCTACACAAAACTTAACAAGCGAAAAACAAACAAGCCCATCAAAAAGGGGACAAAGGACATGAACAGACACTTCTCAAAAGAAGACATACATGCAGCCAACAGGCATTTGAACAAAATGCTCTACATCACTAATCATCAGAGAAATGCAAGTCAAAACCACACTAAGATACCATCTCATATGAGTCAGAATGGCTAACATTAAGAAGTCAAAAAATAGCAGATGCTAGAGAGGTTGTGAAGAAAAAGAAATGCTTAGACAGTGCTGGTGGGAATGTAAAGTAAGTTAGTTCAGCCACTGGGGAAAGAGGTTTAAAGATTTTTCAAAGAACTTAAAAGTGAATTATTACCCAACCCAGCAACCCCATTACTGGATATATACCCAAAGAAATGTAAATTGTTCTGCCACAAAGACACATGCACACATATGTTCATCATAGCACTATTCACAATATCAAAGACATGGAGTCAACCTAGATGCCCATCAACAGCGGACTGGATAAAGAAAATGTGGTACATATACACCACAGAATACTATGCAGCCATAAATAAGAATGAAATCATGTCCTTTGCATTAACATGGATGCAGCCAGAGGCCGTCATCCTAAGCAAGTTAATGCAAGAACAGAAAACCAAATACCACATTTTCTCACTTATAAGTGAGAGCTGAACATTGAGTACACATGGACACTAAGAAGGGAACAAAAGACACTGGGGCCTACTTCAGGGTGGAGAGTGAGAGAAGGGTGAGGGTCAAAAAGCTATCTATCAGGTACTATGCTCATTTACCTGGGCAACCAAATAATCTGTACACCAAATCCCCATGACACACAATTTCTCCACGTAACAACCCTGCACATGTACCCCTGAACCTAAAATAAAAGTTGGAAGGAAAAATAATAGACAAACGACTTAAATAGACATCTTTTTCCCAAAGATTATATATAAATGACCAACAAGCATATGAAAGGAGGCTCAACACCACCAATCATCAGAGATGTGCAAATCAGAGCCACAGTGAGACATCACCTTGCACCCTTTAGGACAGCCATTACACACACACACACACACACACACACACACACACACACACACACACACAAATAGGTGCTGATAAGGATGTAGAGAAATGGAAATCCTGTGCACTTTTGGTGAGATTATAAAATGGTGCAACCACTACGGAAAACAGTATGGAATTTCCTCAAAAAATTAAAAGTAGAACCACCAAATCATCCAGCAATCCACTTCTGGGTATTTACCTAAAGGAACTCAAAGCAGAGTCTCAAAGAGGTATTTGCATACCCATGGTTACAGCAGCATTATTCACAACAACCAAGAAGTGGAAGCAACCTGTATCAGTCAGAATTCTCCAAAGAAACAGACATATATATATATATATTTATCTATGCATCTATGATATAGGTATAATATCTATGTAGATATACATGAGACATCTATATAGAGAGACATAGATATCATATATATGAGACATTTATCTATGGGATTTGTAAATAGGTATCATATCTATATGAAATATAGATACATAAGAGGAGATTTATTATGGGAATTAGCTCACATGATTATGGAGGTCAAGAAGTCCCACAGTATGCCGTATGCAAGCTAGAGAACTAGGCAAATTTATGTTGTAATTCAATTCAAGTCCAAAGGCCTGAGAATCAGGGAAACATACGGTGAAACCCCAGTCTGAGCCCAAAGGCCTAAGAACCAGGGAAGCCACTGATGTAGCTTCTAGAGTCTGAAGGCCTGAGAACCAGAAGCTCTGATGTCTGATGGCAGAAGATGGATGTCCCAGCTCAAGAGCAGGAGGGAGGTGGGGAGAGAATTTGTCCTTTCTCAACCTTTTTGTTTTGTTCTGGCTCATCCACATTGATGAGGGCAGATCGCCTTTATTCACCTGCCAGTCCAAATGCTAATATCTTCTGGAAACAGCCTCACTAACATACCCAGAAATAATGTTTCACCAGCTATCTGGGCATCCCTTTGCCCAGTCAAGTTGACACATAATTAAACATCACACAACCCAAACATCTGAAGAAAGATGAATGGATAAACAAAATGTGGCATATACATACAAAGGAATACTCTTCATCCTTTTTTTAAAAAAAGGAAATCCTGACACATGCTACATGAATGAACCTTAAGAAATTATGCTAAGTGATGTAACCAGACACAAAAAGACAAATACTTATGAACCCACTTATATAGTTAATGTAAGTACTCAAATTCATAGAAACAGAAACAGTCATTATCTGGAGCCTGGGAGTGGGGGAAGAGGAGTTACTTAGTTTTGCAAGATGAAAAAGTTGTGGAGATCTGTTTCACAACAATGCGATTATACTTAATACTACCAGATTTTACAATCAAAAAAAAATGGTTAAGATGGTAAAATTGCATTATGCACTTAACTACAAAAAATCAGAGCACTGGCTGGGTGCATCCTGCCCAGAGTCTGCAACTGGGGCGCTCTGAAAGGAGAGCAGCTACAGCTTCCCACAGCTGCCTACAGGAACCCATGGCTGCCAAGCCTGGAGCAAGGGCCATATCCAGATGGCCACCATCTGCCTCAATAACCGTGAAGTGCACAAGCTGTAAGCCTGGGGGCAAGTGGACCAAGGTGCCCCAACTCAAGGAGCACAACAGACAGGTATGAGGCATCGACTGGACCTCAGAGAGCAACCTCATCGTGACCTGTGGCACAGGCCGCAAGGCCTCTGTGTGGACGCTGACAGGCTGGGTGAGTAAGCCCCCACGCACTGTGTGTGCTGGGCCCACAGGACAAATTTGCTGTGGGCGCAGCTGCATGTCATTGACATCTGTTATTTCCAGCAGGTGACTAGTGTGGAAGTACATCGAGAAGCCCATTGGCTCCACCGTCCTCAGCCTGGGCTGGCACCCTAACAACGTGTTCCTGGCTGACGCCTCCTACGACATCAAGCACGAGGTTCTCGGTCTACATCTAGTGGGTGGAGGAGCGCCAGGATCTCCACCGTGGCACTCCAAAATATTCTTCGGGGTGCTGACGTCTGAGGCCAACGGTAGCTGCAGCTGGGTGCTTGGTTTGGCCTCTCATCAGCGGGTGCCACACGGCCTGGGTTAACGTCAAGACAGCACTGCGTGCCTGGCTGATGCCAACAAAAGGAGGGCCTTGTAACCCTGGCCCCTACTTTCATCACAGAAGGCAGCCTGGTGGCAGCAGGCCGCAACTGCTTCCTGGTGCTATTTTACAGTGGCGCCCCGTGAGCCTGCAGCCCGCCAGACTCCAGATGCCTGAGCGAGAGGGAGGACCGCAGGGCCCGGGAGCAGCCTCCACTTGCCGCACAAGCACAGCCTCAGCCAGGTCTGGCCCAGAGCCGCGGTTCTGGGCCCCAGACATGCCCAGCGCCTCAGCGAGGACCTCAGGATCAAGTGACCTGTGAGGAGCACGCTTCCCTCATCCCAGCTGACCGGGAAGGGGCTCCCAGGGGCTCGGGGAGGCCGCCACTCTGGATGTGCCCAACGTTCCTAGGGACCCGTGTGAGACCCCGTGGGGGCTGCTCCCATGGAAGGCGGGGGAACAAGTGGAGAACTCTTCTTACCTGTTCAAGTGCCATTTTCTTGAAGAAATGCTTTTGTTTAGTGTAGAAAAAGAAAAGAAAAAACACCATGCTGGTGACAAACTGCTTCAAAGCATAAAAAGATAATTTCCGAGGGAAAACTCATTTTTTAAAATTCTCCGTTTTTAAAATTAAACCAGGAATTACATCAGATAATTTCTCTTTGACCCAAGAAAGCTGTGGGTGGATGGGGACTGGAGAGTGGGCTGCCTCCCCAGCTACATCCACTCCTCCTGCCCCGCACGAGAACATGGAGGCAGCGACTGGGCGACCCGCGGGTCTGCCACCTCCTGGTCTCCCTGCGCAGCCGGCCACCAGCCCAACCACCTTTCAGGGCACGCTCTACTCTGCCACTCTTGCCTGCGTGAACCCAGGCAGGAGGCGGGCCTCCCGGCCTCGTGCCCACAGGTTTGACTTGTTGGCAACTGAGAGTCCTGCCCACCCACAAACTTAGCCAATCGCAAATGGAAGAGGGCTTGACTTCCTTGAGGGCCCTGTCAGAAGAGAGAAGGCCAATGCCACCTGCCCATTATGGGCTGAAATGAACTGTGGATTTACCTAAGTAACGGATTCCCCGTGGTTAAACAACCAAAGAGAGAATGAACAGAATGAACAGAAAGCGACACTGCCAGGCCAGGTGAGGCAGAATAGTCTGGAGGCAGAGAACCTAATGCTGATTCACACTGACTTTCTAGAATTAGAAAGGAAAACCCCAACTTTCCACACCCAAGTAGCAAAAAAACCAGAGGCTACTCCCTTTGCAAGTACCCTCCCCCCTTTTCTGCATGGCAGATGGAAAACTGAAAGTATCTCTGGCTCCTTTCTGCAACAAGACATTGGCATAGGAGTGTAACTTTGTAACTTCACTGCAGCCTCTGATTGGTTGCTTTCCACAACCAGACACTTGCATAGGGTGTAACATTTGTAACTTCAGCCTCTGATTGGTTGTTTTCCACAAACCAGACACTTGCATACGGTGTAACCTTGCAACTTCACTTCAGCCTGATTGCAGGCCACTAATTCATTTACATAGGGTACACCAAGTAATCAATGGGAAATTAGAAGGTATTTAAACCCCAGAAAATTCTGTGTCGGGGGTTCTTGCACCCCTGTGGAATGTACTTTTGTTTTCAATAACTCTCTGCTTCTGTAGCTTCATTCTTTCCTTGCTTCGTGTGTTCTGTCCAATTCTTTGTTCAAAATGCCAAGAACCTGGACATCCTCCACCAGTAACAGAGAGACTAGGCTTGCACAGACCTCCATTTCCTTTTATTGTCATTTCTTCAAGCGGATTCAAAACTAAGTGGAGTAAGTAGATGCTCAGTTTATTGTTAAGTCTTTATTTACGGTACAAGTCTCCAAAAGTTCAAGGCAGTTATCTTTTAAATAACATGTCAATCATATAAAATAGCTAGAACCAAAGTAGAGAAATATATACAATATAATACATTAAGTACTTTCAATATAGTTGCATTTTTCATATTACATTGAGAGGCTACTATGATTTACAATGTCGTTTCTCTAGTTTAAAATTCAACCTGTCAAAAGACATAATGTACATTTTTTACAAAACTGACACAGCAGTATTAATAAAACTGCTAATGATTGTAATTTTTATTTTTTCTATAATACACTGCACCTGTGTTACAAAAAAAAAAAAAAAAAAAAAAAAGTATTAAAACAAGATGGTTGGAATACTGCATAAGTCAGTATCTTAACACTTGAGGAATAATGAATGGCCTGACCGGTTATACAATCAGGCTCACTTACAACAGCTTTCACTCTTCAAGCTCAGCAAACTTCTACAGGTAATTGCTTTCCTTAGCAGTTTTACACAAGCTCACTGCAAATGGGTGAAATGCCATGAAGCTGATGACCACAAAGTCATCACAAAAGCTGATGTCAATATAACCCTACTGTTTACAAGGCCTATTAAAAGCCAAAGCTAGAAAACCACTCACTGCTAAATCATGGAAAAAATTCGTTTGTAGGAAATTTTGAATATCTATAAAGTATTCAATAGATTACAAAAGAGCTTGCAACAGCTGGTTCCCATTATTTTTCTTAGGTCAGAATTAGAAAAAAGTAAATCCTTCCTATTTTTTAATAAGTTTTGATGGCCTCAAAAAGCTTCATATTTATAAATAAGATTTTTATACAAAGTAACATGTTACTGGCATAGTTTTCTCTTGCTACTATCAATTATTCTTGGGACTCATACTGTATTTTAAGGAAAGAAGTATTAAGATTTCTTACTCATTCCTAACTTTTCAGAATTAATATGCTCTAGGCCTTGAAGGAAGGGAAAACAGTCACTCAATACTTAACACTGAGTAGCACAATATTTGAAATATCTCATATCTATGATAGTGGCCTAAATAAGAGCAGCAAAGGACCAGACATACAGTTCTACCACTCAATAGGAAGTTAAATTTTATATTTCTCCTTCATTAATACTGTCCAATTTTAAAAGGAGAGATTACCCTTGCAAGGCAGCAACTATTGCTTCAGAATGTGTTATATTGAAAATTTCTGCCACAAAGTTACCTACGAAGCAGCAAGGCAACAGTACTTTAAAACACAGTTTTTTCAAGTCATGGACACAGAAAACAAAATCAACAGGACACATTATTGTCAGAAGCCATTCCCATGGTGAATTCCTACTATGCACATAGAACTGAAACTAAAAACAAAGAAACAACCTGATTGCAGCTAGGGGATGACACCTTGTACTTCAAGTGTTCTTGACTACAGGAGTACAGGAAACGGACAGGATAAATAACCCTACGTATCCTCCCAGAAACAATGAACAGAGACAAAACAGTGTTGGCATTTTAAATCAGATACAAAATCCATTGCTCTGGACACCAAAGTAGTTAATAATGTTCCACATTTTTTTTAACCTCTGTACAGTTCCTTTAATAGTCTTTGATTTCAAAACTAAAATCATCAGTGTTTTGTGTATCTTAAAAGGCACATGCACATTTTTAAAAGTGGTCAAGTGGAACTTAGCATCACATTAGTCATAAGTCCTTGGTCAACTTGCTTCCAGTTCAAAACAAACCACATTTTTAATAAGCACCAAATACTGAACTACTGCCTTCATTCTCTAAAGCAAACTTTCCATAATGTTCCTACTTAAAATATTCATCATACTGTATAACTAAACTTGTCCAGATGTCTTATTACGTGAAGGTTAATGTGCTATTATTATAGGCAGTCTGAAAACAGTGAAATCCTTACAACTTTATAAATCCCTAACTTATCCTTGTTACAAAATAGAAGTCAAGTGGAAATATTCTGGGGTTGCAGTATTTCCTCAAAGATAGTTTACAACTTCTGATCGCTTTTTAAAATAAACAAAAATGCTATTAAACAAGACGTTCCTTACAAAGAATAATTTTCTTTGTTTTGTTTTGCTTTTTGAGATGGAGTCTCTCTCTGTCGCCCAGGCTGGAGTGCAGTGGCACGATCTTAGCTCACTGCAGCCTCCACCTCCCAGGTTCAAACAATTCTCCTGCCTCGGCCTCCCCGGTAGCCAGGAGTGTGCCACCACGCCCAGCTAATTTTTTGTATTTTTAGTAGGGAGACAGGGTTTCGCCATGTTGGCCAGGCTGCTCTCAAACTCCTGACCTCAGGTGATCTGCTGGCCTCAGCCTCCCAAAGTGCTGGTATTACAAGCATGAGCCACCACACCCGGCCTATTTAACATTTCTCAGCAGTCAGAACTAGCCAATATATAGAAAGTTAGAAAATGGGGATGCCCACTGTGGAAATTTTTTGAATTTATAGATGCCACTTAAATTGCTGGTTATATTGAAAAGACACTATACCTCTGTTTAAAAAAAAAAAAAAAAAAAAAAAGTTTCCTTCTCAATTTCTTAGATTGGGCCTAATTTATTTTTTTATATTTTAAAAATCCTTCATTAATAATTATTCCATTAAGGTTTAGTGACTACAGACTCATTTACTAATGATTTACTATGATACCCTGAAAATAGAGAAAAAACCCTGGAATATGAGCATATGCAAGTAAGTGCAGTCTAATATATCAATTGCACAAAAGTTTTAAACAAGCTTTAAAAGTATCTCCAAAAAAGACTTTAAAAAGCTGTAGCCTCCTGTCATCCACAGAGAAGACAGAATTTTAAAAATATCAAACATACTCGAAACCATGCAAGATGGGAAGACAAAGAACATGACAGGATTCCCAGTTTAAGTCAAATTCCTCAATAAAACAATAAATGCCAACGTTTAACTGGCCGTTAATGGAATAAATCAGAATTTCTGTAAAAGTTTCAGAAATTCTGATAATAAGTAACATTAAATGATGACAGAAAAACACAAAACAAATTCAGCAGCTCTACAAATGCTTTCTGAGTAATGTGTCAAATGTGATGCCAGGAGAGTCAATTTATGAGACATTGTTTTCTTCTTAAAACAATTAAGTTAGCAAATTCAACCCATTTTTCACCCTATCTACTCGTCTCCAACTTTAGCCCTTTAAAACATGTCTGTATTTTAGCTTAAGTAAGAAAATTTTCATGCCACTTCCCAACCTACAGACAGCTAATCCACAGGAATCAAAAACCAAAGTGCAAATTCATGGATTTTTTCCATTCCATTACGGACAGTCTAAAGAGCCACAGAACTGAAAAGTTTGCATACAGTAGTGAACATGATGAAGAAATAAAACATGTAGCTTATTTTTGGTCCTTTGTTCCTGTCCCCTTTTCCTTCACAGTCCATTTCCAAATATGTGCTTGATTTCAGCAATTCAGACCCAAGCCTGTCCAGTGGTCTGGTACCATTAGGAAATACTTGTCCATTGCCTCACAAAACCTAGTCCTGTACAACTCCGGAGACACCACTGTTGGCATTTTACCTAAGATTATGAAAGAGAAAAGGGGAAAAGCTGTTATATAATTGACTGGACAACTGAAGTTAACCAACCATGTTCTTTCATATAAACTGCCATAAAGATACACACGCCAGAGCAGTCTAAGTGAGCAGGCAGGGTTACCTGCTGTGCCACATGCCATGGGACAAGGTCCTGCCTAGTAGGAGTTTCTATTTAAAAAGACTAGCTCTTGCCTAGAGATGAGAGATATCTAAAAGCACAAATGAGGCAAACTTAGAGAACTTGGAATTCTCAACTGTTAATTAAAGACAATCTCTTATTCAGAACATCAGGCTTTTAAAAAAATCTTTTTGAGAACCTCTGACATTTTAACACAAATTTACACCCAATATTTCCTGACCTATACAATTCTCATTATTGTTTGGTCATTTTAGAAATGACAATGAAATCAGAGATAACTACTTATTTTTTACAACTAAAAAAAGAATCAGTATCCACTTTTAAAATTTTAACTGGTAAGAAATACATGAGAACAATTTAAACAAAACAAAAATTCTACTCACCTTGTCCTCCTAAAATTCCTGTTGATTTCACAACCATCTCAAGCTTTTTGTCCCATGTAAACGTTCGAATATAATCTAGGGGTAGAAGGAGTAAAATTAGCAATAAAGCTATGTTAATAAATAAATGACAACAGCAATGACTATTACTACTATTTCTATGATAGTTAACTTTTATTGAGTGCTAACAATATGCTAAGTGCTATTCTCAGGGCTTTTTCCACATTAATTTGTTTAATCCTCGCAACAATCACAAAAGGACTCATTTATAAGTGACTTTTTGAATTCACATATTTTTGGTAAAGATAATGAAAATGAAAACGAAAATGAGAAGAGACTAGAATAAAAAACTGTTATTTTTGAAATTACAAATGCAAGTTTACGAAAATATTCAATAAGCTATTATTAGACCAGGTTCGATACAGTCTTATTCATGAACTATAAGTAGGGTACACACTGACTTACCTATAATTCCAACTACTAGCTCATTGCTAGTATCATCTCGCCCAACAAGCAAAGAGTAATCTATAATGAGGTGGCTAGAAAGGAAATGGGAGTCACTATGGATGGAGGTTCTCAGCACGGCTTTGGAATGAGAACGAATGTATAGAGGGTTGTCCCGAACCATCTTTAGGAGATTTTCGTCTAGCAGGACCACATCACAACTCTCTTTTCCAGTGTCAGTTTTTACATTCCGATTCCTAAGAGAGCCCTTCAAATCAAAAACCTAGCAGAAAGAAAATTCTTTGTCATTTATGTATGGGTTGCCACAAATGATTAATGTAATTAAATAAAAAAGGCAGAAAGACTCCTTGTAGTCACTACCATTATATACACTCCTAAATTTTATTGAAAAATTGAATTGTAATTTTTAAGTTTTTAAATGCATGGTGATATAATTGTGCAGTACATAAAATACACAGTAATATAATCCTATCATATAAAATTAACACCTAGATACTCAATTACTGAAACATTTCTGAATACACTGGCCAATTTAATTAACTTTAAGATAATTAACAAGTATCTTCAGAAATGTATCATTGGATCACAAGGCAGTGTTAAAAAAAGAAAAAGAGAGAGAGAGAAAGATGCAAATAGTCTTAAGAAACAAAGTTTTAATATCAAACTCTGGACAATTACTTACGTCAATGTAGAAGGGCATAATGTAGGAATACTTGGGTGGTAGCAAAAGCAGTGCACTCAAAGGACAAAGGACTTGAGTACCAGAACCAGTACAACCTATAGTATATTCTGCAGACCAATGCCGGTCAGTTGCTTCTGGCTCACTATGACATTAGGGAACTAGTGCCAGAATATAAATCAATTACATTATTAAGCATATTGTTTAGCTGACATTTTTCTCATAGAAGATGTTCTCAATGAAGAAACCAGTGCACTGAATTACATTCTAGCACAAGTTCCTTATCTCATTATAGTCTGGAAACAGTTCAAGGACTAGCACTTTGAAGAGCACTGTTTTAGAATCTAGACTAACCTGAGTCTAGGAATAACTGAGTGATTTTGATGAAGCACTTAATTTCTCTGGGCCTCAGCTTCTTAATCTTTAAAGATCTGCCTTCTTATTCCACCAATTCTGTGATTACAGAATATTGGATACACTGAATTTTAAGACCACTCCACAAGAACAATTCCTCTTTATTCTTTCTCCAATGCTGAGCAAGTCAAAAGTTAAATATGGCCTAGTAATCAAAGATAAATACTCACTATAAAATAAGATGTTACCCACTGATTCATTATATTTAAGAACCAAAAGTACAAAAGTTTCTAGTAGCTAAATGCTTCACATAATCCAATACCCTTACCTGTGCCATCTTTCTCCCATAGAAAAGGTTTTCCATGACAAGGAGATCTAACTTCTTCTCAGTGTTGTTCTGAGAGTTCTTATAACCAATTCTGTAAACTCCAAGAATTTTGGCCAACGCTGTGGGCCTCTAATCAAGAGAAGGTCAAAGTAAACTCTTATCAAAAAGGGTTATTTATAATTTAATACCAATATAAGGATTATCCATGTAATATATGAACATAATTTTCTATTAGTATGACCAACCAAAGGACCTTGAAAGAACTCAAATCCGGGCCGGGCGCGGCGGCTCACGCCTGTAATCCCAGCACTTTGGGAGGCGGAGGCAGGTGGATCACAAGGTCAAGAGATCGAGACCATCCTGGTCAACATGGTGAAACCCCGTCTCTACTAAAAATACAAAAAATCAGCTGGGCATGGTGGCACGTGCCTGTAATCCCAGCTATTCAGGAGTCTGAGGCAGGAGAATTGCCTGAACCCAGGAGGCGGAGGCTGCGGTGAGCCGAGATCGCGCCATTGCACTCCAGCCTGGGTAACGAGAGCGAAACTCCGTCTCAAAAAAAAAAAAGAAAAAAAAAGGAAAAAACTCAAATCCTTGAATCTCAGAAGTGAGTATAACAGCAATGCCAGTAAAAATATTAGACCCTTAACATTTTCCCAATGAATAATCCAGTTGATCAAAAACTTTATTATGACATGTAATTTCCCCCAAGACCATGCAATAAACCATGATAACTTTAAATAAAAAAAAAAAAAAAAAACCCAAAACTATGTAACTCTTTCATGATTCTAAGGTGGCAGCTGGATTGGGGCACTGGCGGCTGCTCAATGACAAGTGGGCAAACCTGGGCCATTGGCTGCCTCTCTTTCTAGCTAAAAGAAGCATCTCCTCATTTCTCAATACACATTTCAAATTTCAGTCTCAGCAAAATTACCAACTACTGAATGTGCACCTAATTTCATCCAGTCTTAATGTCTAAAGTGATTTTTTTATACAAGCTAATTAAAGGGAACTTGCTCAAGATCACTTGGTTCCTCACTAACAAAGGCAGGAAATAGGAGAGGTGTCAGCAGAATAAAAAAAAAAAAAAGAACAAAGGCAGAAAATATATACGTTAAGATCTCTGAATTCTGTAACACCTCAACAACATAACAGAGATCCACTTGTGTCCCGCATATATCTTACCATAGAGAAAACTGCCATTAGAACTGTTACAGTTTGGATATTTGCTCCCCACCAAATCTCATGTTGAAACGTTATCCAAAATGTTGGAAGTGGGGCCTGATGAGAGGTATTTGGGTCATGGGGGCAGAACCCTCATGAATGGCTTGGTGCCCTCCTTGCAGTAATAAGTTCTTGCTCTGAGTTCATGCAAGATCTGGTTAGTTAAAAGAATGCAGCACTTTCCCCGACCCCCAACCCCACTCTCTTGCTCCATCTCTCGCCATGTGACATGCTGGCTCCCCTTGCCTTCCACCATGACTATAAGCTTCCTGAGGCCCACCAAAAACAGACACTGCCAGCACCTTTGTATACAGCCTGCAGAACCACAAGCCAAATAAATTTCTTTTCTTTACCAATTACCCAGCCTCATGTATTTCTTTATAGCAACATAAGAACAGGCTATCAGAAAGAATGTGAAAAAAGCCACCAAACTCTGATTATAGACCATGGTTTTAGATTTCTACCTTTTGTTGAACAGCATTTGTAATATAATTGAAGTAATGTGGTGCAAAGTCGAGGAAAGACTGGACTTCCAGACGAGGCATTTGCTTCAAAATAAATCTATCATCTAAAAGGCAGAAATTTTATGTGTTTATTCAATCACAACATATACTGTAATCTATAATACATCATTCCAAAGATCCTACGTGATCAGGTTGCTTTATGATTTTAAGGGATATTTTCTAATGTCACAGTGAAAATTTTGATCAGAACACAATTCTCAAATTAACTGAAGGGCTGGAAGGGATCCTGTGGATTCATATAGTCAAAGACCCTCTACTTTTGTCAGTAACATATTTAAGTTCAGTTCTAGAAGGTCTACTTTTTAAGACTACCAAATAAAACTTCATAAATGCCTCTGTTAGATCTAGTTATAAATGCCTCTGTTAAATCTAGTAGGTCATAGTTATGAAAGTTCTTATTAAGCAATATCCTTCCTGCTGCATTTTCTGAGGGAAAGAGATGGAGACTATAGAAACCAATCAATAAATGATGAGAAAGGCTCACCTTCAGTTGCATAGAAGGCAGCTCCTGATTTGCCTCCCCGGGCCTGCCAGGGTGATGAGTGGGAGAGGGAACGAATGAAATCTTCCTCACTGCTGCCCAGAATGACTTCACGCATCTTATGAAACTCTCCCGCATAGTAGAGCCGACAGTAAAACTTGGCATTAGCATCAGAAAATTCTATAAACAGAGGTTTTTTTAAAAAAGCTTTATGACTCAGAAAATATTTTTCCTCCCTGCCTCCCTCCCCTCCTGCCCCAGCCAAATGCAACTATTTAAGTTTTTCCATGATGGCAATTTTCATGTTAGATCTAAATCCCTATTTATCATAATTTTGTTAAAGTGATCTTCAGGGGAACTTAAAGAACATCCTATGACCATCTTTACATATTTTCAAAAAAAAAAAAAGGAAGAAGAAAAATCACACAAAAAATATGAGTCAGTTCTAATTTTACACTGGTTACCTACCATATTAACATCACTGTACATTTATATCCATTCTTAATATAAACATCTTAAAATGTACTGTACATATTATTCTGGGTAATACATATCTGGTACCCATATACACAATTCTAAATGCAACTGTCAAAGCTCTGTGGCTCTATTTACATAAGTAATGTTTAAATATTAGAAATGAAAGCATAATTTATAAATTATACTGTTGATTAAATTTCTCTGTAAATTAAGTAATGCATATTTTATAAAGTATAGATTAAATATACCTCATGTCAGCATACAGGCTTAATATTCATTTCAAGAACTGGGATTAATTATCTAGTATAAAGCTGAATTCTCAAATAGTAGAGTTGACTCAACTGTAGTCCCTCTCCCCAAACCAATGATATATTATCTCATACTTACGAAGTTCCACATGGGGATTTATGAGTTGTTTCTTTTGTGTATCTCCTCCGTCTACTTCATCTAAAAGGTTTAACATCATTAGTAAAGCCAAGTTTTGAGTAAATATCAGTTCATTTTGTCTCTTCCTTTTCCCTTGATGTAACAAAAAAACTTAGCAAATTAAAAGTAAAAATATCTTACTCAAGTCACTATCAAGCAAGCATTAGATACACAGTTAAACTGTCTAAATGATTACAACAAAAATGTATGGGGTTTTTTGCAATTTCAGTTTGTAAATTAGAAAAATTGAGAATATAGGTTGAATACTTTTTCTTACAACTGAATGATTCCTACAATGGCAATATAGTAACTCAGTTCTTAGACCAAGTCACTATCAAGCAAGCATTAGACATACAATTAAACTTCTAAATGAAACCATAGCTTCTTCATTATATTTTTCCCCATGTGTGTAGAATGTTTCCTCAACAGTTTGCACTGCTTCATCATGTACTAAGATATATAAAATGTGAATAAAGTATTTTTTAAAACATAAAATTGTATCATATACTATATATATCATATATAATTTTATTAACATATAACATATAATCATATAACATATAAAATTAACATAAAATTAAATGAGGAAGGCTCACCTTCAGTTGCACAGAAGGCAGCAACTAGTATATTAATATATAATTTTATTAATATACTCAAGAAATATAACTTTGTTTATAAATATATAAATATTTTTAAACACAAAACATACTAAAGTATAAGTCAGAACATTTTTTTTTAATTTTTGTGACTGATTTGCCTTGCAAGCTTACTACTTTCTGTGTAATTATTAGGGATTTGGAATACATCTTAGCATCTAGAAGAACAAATCGTCCTGTAAGTTTCGCATTTTAAAATAATTTTTTGAAGTATCAAAGCTTTCCAAGCATTACATTTTAAACAGCTACAGCCCAATAGCAAGCAGCCTACAGAATACTAAACAGATATTTTAATTACTAATCAAAATTTATTATAGCAGTTTTTTGTTTTTGAGACAGAGTCTTGCTGTCACCCGGGCTGGAGGACAACGGTGCAATCTTGGCTCACTGCAACCTGCATCTCCCGGGTTCATGTGATTCTCGTGCCTTAGCCTCCCAAGTAGTGGGATTACAGATATGCACCACCACACCCAGCTAATTTTTATATTTTTAGTAGAGACTGGGTTTCGCTACGTTGGCCAGGCTCATCTCAAACTCCTGGTCTCAAGTGATGCTCCAGCCTCAGCCTCCCAAAATGCTGGAATTATCATACTGGGCCCAGCAGTTGCTATTTTTAAAACTACTAATTCATGGACTAACCCAGAGGTCACCGAACTATTTCTGTATAGAGACAGAGTAAATATTTCACTCAGTTCTAACTACTCAACTTGCCAATATAAAGTGAAAGCAACCAGATGATTAAGTAAATGAATGGGTATGCCTGTTTCCCAATAAATGTTTATTTACAAAAACAGGCCAGCATAGTCTGCCTATTCCTGATCTAAAACCATACCCAAACACAATGAAGTAGACACACACACACACACACACACACACACACACATTTTTTGGTAGAGACAGAGGTCCCACTTTATTGCCCAGGCTGGTCTCAAACTACTGGCTTCAAGTGATCCTGCCATCTCAGCCTCCCAAAGTGATGAGATTACAGACATGGGCCATCTCACTCTGCACTAGACATAATTTTTAAATGTCAAAATGAAGGGGACATAAACAGCTGCAATTTTGCAGGGACTTGAAAAGAAAGGAAGCATTTTGAGGGAGTAGTGGAATGAAAACATTTGAGCATATACTATGAGTTACATAAGGGGACAGATGTATTACATCTGGAATGTCACATAAACTTTGGAAGACATTATTCTTTCCACTTTACAGGGTATGGAAATTAAAGATTTCTGCTTCTACCGCACAGTACATGGTGGCAGTGAAATCTGAAACTAGTTGGACTCTCCCAGAGCCATGCGTTTTCCAGTCTACTACACTGACATGTGAGAACAGGGGGAATGCCCCGGTTTCAGCACTAAGAATTATCTATTTAAGCCTGTAAGAAATATATGCAAGTAAAATAAATAAATCAAAGCCTCGAATAAGCACATTTATTCTTGAACACACCTTGAGGCTCAACGCCTTGATTCTCCGTCCCCTCCTTGCCCGTCTGCCCAACCTGGTAGTAAGCACTATCTGCTCCACGTAAGGTCTCTCTCTTCTGGGAAGAGAGATCGGGGCTTTTCCCTGCTGTCCCTCTGAAGAAGGACAACATTCCAGAAGCCTTTTTGGCTAAAAATAAGAAGTAATATATTAATTTCAAGTATAGGTCACTGCAAGTGGAAAATAAAAATTTTCAACTCATTTCTTTATTAGCAGTAACCACCATATGAAGCTAATCAATCTGAGTAATGCAGATACTTTAGTTTGCACGTTGTTCCACATGTTACTTATTGTTCCACATGTTGTTTTTGTGTAATCAAGCACCGCTTTTAACAAAAACCCGTATTAAGAAAAACACAGATGGAGGGTTAATACTCAGCTAAATGAATATAAAAATATGGGAAATTCTCTAGAAAGCTTTTCAAAAATAACTTTCAAAGGCAGTCACAACTTAAGCAACAAGATTAAATTAGGGCTGAGTTCTTATAGTATTGCAATATAGTTAACTAAATGAACACAAAACGATTTCACAAGCTAAAATAATTCAGTTAAAGGTAACATCTTTGTGTCATTTGTGTTCCTACAGTTTCACACAGGAAAATATAAGATTTCCCTTTTAGCATCTTTCAAAAAATAAAAAAGGCCATTGAACAGTCAAGAATTTACTAAATCTTGCTCTATACTTTGACTTCTAGTTTTGGGCTTCATTCATCATACTTATTAATATGATTCTAATTCTTGCAAATGTATCATTTACAAAATTGACAGAAAATGTCAATCATAAATGTGCTTACTTAGGGTAACAGACACTACTATTGCCTCCTTAATATCCACTTCTACCTGGTTCCCCACTAACAGAACACAAACTTTTGGAAAGAGGGGAGCAGGGCAGGGTATGTAACTATGTGTACAGCACCAGGAAAGGATTATGATTTGTATAAGCCAACCAGGACAATGCTCCTCCCTACTTTCTCTTTCACGTCAGGAGTGGCCATGAGCTTCAGTTCTGACCAATGAAACTAACGGAGGAGCCTCTGCTTTCCTAATGAAAGAGAACAGCTAACACCCTTCTTTCTGCCTCAAATGCAAACAAAAATGGAACACTTTTAACCATGAGGAAAACTTAAAGGAATCACAGAGAAACTACTCTAATGTTATTACAATGCTGAGCAGCTAAACAAAATGGCAACAACTATCAACCTCCAGGATTGGTTATTTTAGAAAAATAAGCTGTCACTTGTTTAAATCCTTACAGTTGAATTTTGTGTTACTTGTAGCTGAATGTGTTCCTGACAACGTCAGGGAGACACAAATACAAATCCCAGCTCCATCACTGTCTAATCTTGAGCAAGTTACTAAATCTAAATTTTAACTTATTTTCTGAAAAATAAGGATGTCTAATTATTATTATGTGGTTGTTATGGGGATAAAAGGAGGTAATGCATGAAAATTTATTTTCATAGTGACAGTAATACTGTAAAATTAAAAAGGAAAAAATATAACTTAATGTTTTCTATCTTAGGTTATATATTTTACACTGAAAGCTCTTCTAGGAAACAGATCCTCCTTTTTGCATAGACCAAAGAGCTTCTAAAAGTTTCAAATTCAATACCTTGAACTTATATTTGAGATAAGAATCAAGGAAGAAAAACAAAACACCTATAAAGAGCACACAGAAAAATATCTAAATTTATATTTCAGAGATCAGAAGTAGCAAATCATTGCCAGATGGTACTTGTTTTTATGTATTTTCTTTATCAAACCATAATTATAAGTAAATCTGATTACAAATATTCCTCCATGTGTAACCTTACTTGGTTGTGGTTCTGCTTCTGCTGTACGGTTTGTCTGCCCTCCACTCATTTCAGGTAATCTAATAGGACTGCTACTCTTTGGTCTGCTGTCTAAAGTACTAAAATGAAAAAAACAAAGGAAAAAAATAGTTTTATACAAGTCAAACAGAAAATAGTAAGTACACTAACTACATTCTACATTAATTTACTTCCCACATAACCCCACCAACAATATCAAAAGTCTGATTCATAATTTACATAAAACACAGGCTAGAACCTAGAAGAAAAAGTCTGAAATATCTACTGGACTTAAAGTGAAATGCTATAACAATGTATGGAGGAATAAATTATAATATGTTCCCCAAGTCCATAACACTACATCAGCACCCATAAGTCAAAAATTACAGAAAATACCAATTCCTTTCTCTCACACTAGTCACTATAATGATAATTCAGATAAAATTTTACCATGTTAGTAGAGTTGGAAACTCTATTTCAGTAAGAATCATAATAATGAGCATGTGACAATTTCTGTCTATAAGTCTAAAATACGAAACATGCCAAAAGAACTGGTTTGGATTTGGTTTTTTAAGTATTAGAACCTTTACTTATAAACAATTCATAGATACTCTGAATTGCAAGATCAAGCAGTAGCTTACCAATTTTACAAGTTATTACTTTTTAAATAAAAACACTTTTTCAAAAATGCCATTAAATCTGCAATATACATTTAACTGCTATCACAACTACCATAAAACGGGATCCTAAGGGACTAAGTTCTTTTGTTAAATTTGAACTTTGCTGTCTCAATTATTGGCTGAAATATGAGTGCCATTATCTGAATCCTAGAAATTTTTATACTGATAAAATGCTATAATAAAACTGATGTTCAAGCATATAGAAAATGATGACATAACTAAATTAAAATAGATTCCACTCAATCATGAATCACCTATTTGCTGGAAGCCCTTCTTCGGCACTGTTCCACAGAGTCGCTTTAGATAATTCCTCTAAGGCATTTCGGTATTCTTTACAACTGTGGGTAGAAATAGGTTGAAAAACGTTAAACATTAACGTCTTCTTTAAAAGTAAATCAAATCAAATGCTTTAGAGTAAGTTTTGCATTATAGAAGCACAATCATTATAAGTTTCCATAACTAAATAATTTTAACAAACCAAGCAATCAAGTAGAAGATTCATGAAAAAGGTCAATGTCTTCATAGATGGCAATACAAAACATGACCCAAAGACTCACCAACCAGTATCAACATGCTCAACAAAGATTTTAAAAGCCTACTTACTAACACTTAGATCAAATAACTTCAGGGGTTGAACAAGTAACTTAAATTTGAAGCCTCAGTGTTTAGTACAACAGAGAAAAAAAGAACTCAAGAGTGCTTTTCTACTTAAAGCACTAAACTTTTAAGTAAAAAAAAAATGTTTGTTCTATTAACCAAAAAGAAAAAAAAAAATCTGACTCTTAGACTAGCAGTCTGGGAGCCCTGCTTTAGATAAACACCATGCAATAAGAGAGGCATGTTAGGATGTATTATTCTTCTAAGACATTGAAAAAAGATTATCTCAACTAGAATCCTTACTTCCTAATAGTACAAAAACTATTTTTGATTTGGTTGACTTTCCTACCTTGCTTATCTATTAATATACTATGATTAATAAAGTGAGAAGCTTATACTATGTTCACAAAGGCCAAAGGCAAAGGTTAAAAATGTATCATATGGAATCTCATAAAGGAAAAAAAAAATTCCTCATTATCTACACAGTAAACTATAAACTCCATAAAGGCAGAGGCATGTAAATCTATCTTATTTACTCCTGTACATCTAACACCTAATATATCGCATTTTGCAAACATTCAAATGTTTGTTGAATAAACTGACTCCTCGTAACCACTATCTAAAAAGGAAAATTAAAAACTATAATGCCTTCCAGTGGGAAAAAAATTGCTTTAAACATTTTAGATTCTACTTAAACTAAGTTCAGCTACCACCAAGATATTCTTAAGATTTAAAAGCTTTGCCCTTTTAGACATACTATATAAATATTTTTAAAGTGGATATATTTTTAAGATATATGGTAGCTATATAAACTAAAAAGTCAGAAATGTCTGTGGAATAAGACATGAGAACAGCACTGCAGTAGGCCCTCCTCATCCATAGTTTCACTTTCCATGATTTCGATTACCCACAGTCAACTACAGTCCAAAAACATTAAGATATTTAGAAAGAGAGAGAGCACATACACATAATTTTTATTATAGTACATTGTTATAACTCTTCTATTTTATCATTGTTGTTCATCTCTAATTGTGGCTAGGCTAATTTATAAATTAAACTTTATCATAGGTATGTATGTACAGGAAAAAACATAATATTTATAGTGTTCAGTACTATCTGTGGGTTCAGGCATCCTCAAGGGTTCTTATAACACATACTCCATGGATAAGACGTGACTGCTGTATTCTAAGTAGAAAAATTTTATCTCATATGTGGGGTATTAAAAAATAAGTGAATAGTACAAAAAGGATATTCAGATGGTACAACACAGGATGTTCCAAGTACTATGTCAATAAGTAAACTAAGGGAAGGGATACAAGAGAATACATATTTTAACAGAATGGGTAGGGGATTCCAGGCTCAGTAAATAACTTACCTAGTCAATTTAGTTACTAGGAGCGCACTTAGGAATCATTCTATACTCCATTATTTGGGTACAGAGAAGATTTTTATGTACGAAAAACACAAGCTATCATGACTAAAGAACATATATTTTTGCTTATAGTTAATCATTTTGCTTTACTCCATGTGAAAGATCCCAAAAATAAGGGATTAACAGAGATATCAACATAAGTCAAAATCCCATGAATAATACCTGAGAGCAAAAGCAATGATGGAGCTGGGTTCCTTCTCGCAGACCGCAATGGGCACTCGTTCATGTTCATACATTAAGTAGTGTTTATCTGGATCACTATTCAAATTTTTAAAATACATAAGTTAACTAAGTACTGTAGAGTTAAGAATATAATTAAGAAAGCCAAAATGTATGCAGACCTTGTAACTTGAATCATTAGGAAAGAAAAAAATATCAAGAGAGTTTTTGAAGGCAATTAGAAAATTATCAGAATTAATTAGGTTTCAAATCAGAGGGTTCTGCAAGAGTCACTCCAAACAAACCTTTCCATCCTGCCAAGACTCTGGCCATACTAACCTCAAAAAGAATTTACAATGAACAGCAGAAGTCTAAGATATTTCGTTCCATTGTAAGCTAGAGAGAAAAGTCTTCTACAAATTGCGGAGAAGACATACTACTAGTTCAACAATAAACAATGCAACACAGCCACTCTACTATTATCATACAAAAAGCCCACTATAGCTCCATTTCAACTTAAATTTTGCTCCCCTGGCTCCGACCCTAACTCACCTAGGAATTGTTAGGCACAGTCATTCATTTTATTTAAATGCTGTTTACTGAACACCAAACATGCCAAGGACACAATATGAAGAAAAACTATTTTTAAAGATCTTACATGTGTAAGACATTAACAATACAATGGTGAAAAAGAAAACAAAAAACTAGGCACCATCGAGTTTATAGTGTAGTGGGGGTAAAGAAATAGACAATCCTATAATTAAATATAATATCTGTGATAAGTGCTATGAGGAAATTGCTATAGAATGAATGTTTATCCAGCCTTCACAAAATTCACATGTTGAAATCCTAACTCCCAAATGTTATGGTATAAGGAGGTGGGGCCTCTGGGAGGTAATTTAGGTCATGAGAGTGGAGTATTCATGAATGGGATTAGTGCCCTCATAAAGACGACCAAACACAGCTCTTTCAGCCTCCTTCCACCACATGAGAATACAAAGAGACAACAGCAACCTACAATCCAAAAGAGGACCCTCGCCAGAATCCAACCATGCTGGCACGCTCATCTCAGACTTCTAGCCGCCAGGACTATAAGAAATAAATTTCTGCTGTCTATAAGTGACTCGGTCTATGGTAAGTCATCATCCAGGAATCATAAGAACATATAACAGAAACCTACTCTGACTGGAGCAGGAGATAAGAAGAAGGGTCTAGTAAATTATTCTTGAGAAAGAACAAGACTGAATAATTTAAAAAGATGTGTTTCACAAAAAGCAGTTTAGAAAGAAGAGAAACAATTAAAAAGAAAAAAACCGTATTTTAAAAAATTACAAAGGGTCAGGCCCAGTGGTTCGGTACTCTGGGAGACTGAGATGGGCAGATCACCTGAGGTCAGGAGTTCGAGAGCATCCCGGCCAACACCGTGAAACCCCATCTCTACTAAAAATATGAAAATTAGCCAGGTGTGGTGGCACACACCTGTACCCATCTACTCAGGAGGCTGAGGCAGGAGAATCTCATGAACCTGGGAGGCAGAGGTTACAATGAGCCAAGATCGCACCACTGCACTCCAGCCTGGGTGACAGAGTGAGACTCTCTCTCAAAACATAATAAAATTTTTTTAAAATGTGAGAACATAAACAAAGACCATAATGGAAGAGGTATCCCAGCCCAATCAAGAAACTGAGATATTCAGGTCTAAAGTAGAGGAAAAAAAGGAAACTTTTATATTTACTATCATGAAATATATCACATACCGTACTGTGAGTCCTAACCATATCTTCCCAAAGATTATGAGCTCCTAAGAGCAGTGACTGTTCCTTATAAATCTTGTTCTACATCATAGGGCACTAAAACAGGCACTAAATAAAAGTTTGAATGCTGACTGAATAAATACATAAGTCAGTTAAGAAAAAGCAGAAATCCTTATTAACAAAAATACACTTGAATACACTTGTTCCATAACAAGGGCAGCATTTGACAGCCACATGAGTCAACCAGTGGAAGAAAAATAAACTTTCACAGCCAGCCTATATTCTTTCCAAATTTGAGTGGGCCCCATACAAAAAAGATCACATAAATACTTGTACAATTCACTGTGATTCATCTTCAGTGCTAGAACAATGCTATGTCCCAGTAAATTATTAGACGAGCAATACCAACCTCCTATACAACCAGAAGTATGTTTTTATAATTATTAAACTAGTAGATGTAGCCATATATCTTTGAAAAAAGATATACAAACGAGTGTTTCCAGAACAAGTAATTCAAGTCTTTATAAATAACACTGGTTAGTGCTTTCTTCATCCACTCATATACTATATTATAATGATTATATGTTCTACAAATTACATTATATCAAAAGACATCTCTTTATGATAAAATAAAATTTAGAATTGAAAAATCATGTATCAGATAAACATATTGAACTATGCAGACAGCAAGTCTAGAGAGTTTTTTTAATTAAGAAAAAATAACACCTCCTGCCAAGAGCCACTGGTTTTAATAATACTTACAAAGGAAATGGAATAGGATTATAGCTATTTCCTGGAAGCAAATTTGCAAAGATGGCTTTCATAGTTGACTTTTCCTTCACTTGGCTGTCTGTGGATCCCAGCAAATGCCCATCAAACACATCTAAAATGAAAAATAATCTACTTATATATTAATATTCAGGGAGAATAAAAAGTATAAACTGCTGACTTTGGTTTTTCCCTTCTGGAATATGGACATATGTATACTATACCAATAATAGTTTAAAATTTCTGATCAAGGGAAAAGACCCCTATGGGATGAAACAGGAAACAACAGTAAGGCATACACAGCACTGACTCCAAGGGACGCTTTTTTTTTTTTTTAATGTCTCTGAAGCACTATGACTATTACACCTGAGTTAAATAGCAATTTTAAGTTAATTTCAAAGTTTATGCTATAATTAAGTAGTTACCACCTAAACAGAAAGTATGGCATGAATCTGTTATTGTGAAGTAAATATCTGTCCTTAGAGAAATGGCTGTAATTATAGAGAAATGGCTGTAATTCTCTTATTTTCTTACAAAGCAGTAGCCATGTGCTGTATGAAACTTAAGAAAGGAACATCCCCAGAAGGTAAATGAAGCTAAGTGACATTTTGACACTAAGATATTTACATGTCAAGTAATGTTACTAAATGAAGTAATAATATGATAATAAGCTACATCCAAAAAATACTTTCAGTAAGTGTAAACAGAAAAATTCTAAGGGATAAGAGCATTATGTCAAAGAATCAGCAATTTCTCCTTTTTGGTGACACATGTAAATCAATGATACATCTTTCAGTCTTAGATTCATTGAAGTATAGTAAAAGTGACTTAACCTCTACCTTCGGAACTGCTGGCTGTATCTAGCTCAGGGGGCCCTCCCACTGACTGCTCAGACATCACTTCAGGTGGTGTAGGCAATTGGAGATGAGTAGAACTGGTGGAGCTCTGGCTGGACAAAGTTGTTAAGAAGCGATCCTCTAAAGAAAAACGCAATCTTAAATGAGTCATTTACATACATTAAGTCCATGTCTAATATTTTTTAAATGCTCATTTCTATTCCTACCTTCTAAAACACGGAATTTTCACTTTTTAAAAATCATCTAGGTAATGTAGCTCATGTCACAGAAATGGACACAAAAATCCAGAAAGATTATATATGACTTAACTACATTCAAATCCTGGTGGCCGTACTGCAACTGTCAACCAAGGCTGACTCCTATCCCATACTCTATCCATTATACCACAATGCCCACTTAAATATTAGTTTTGGAGTTTAATAGAGAATGAAATTAGGACACTATGAGAAAGAATGCACATTTACTCTGGGAGAGAAAAAACAATTATAATAGAAAAATGCCAAGAATTATAAGTTGAGCTCCTGTTGTTATGGAAAACAGGTAAATTTCCCCACAAAGTTTCTATGATGACACCAACTTATTCAATGAAATACTGTGAAAGACATCTTAAGTCCAGACAATATTTTAGTGACATTAAAAATGTAAATTAAACTTTATAAGATTTTTGCAATGAAACCTGGGAACTGACTTTGTAATAAGCAAAACAGAAATTCAATTTACTTTTTGTTTTTCCTTCCCCAATAGCAGCCTTCTTTGTATTTCATATATTTATTATATCTTATATATTATTATATCTTATTATAATAAGATTATATCTTATTATAATTATATCTTATAATAAACTATATGATAATCTTAATCTGATAGGATCACAAATGCTTTACAGGAAGGAAAAAAGTATATGAACAATAGCAACAGAAAAACTGCTCAAACAGTTTAAAACAACATATACACTAAGAAATTCCTTTAAATACGATGGCAAGTGATCACCAGACTCAAGGACCAAACCTTTTTCTCCATTCTGAAGTCCTGGAGAAATATTCCGTGGAGATGCATCCATCGCACTTATCTGCAGAGAAGTAAATACTTTGTTGTTATGGAAAACATGAAAATCACATTCAAAAAAAATTTTTTTAATCCAATGAATCTTAAACTTTTTGGTCTATGGACCCATTTACACCCTTAAAAATAACTAAAATCCCCCTTAATATTTTTAAATAGCTTTTGTTTACCTTAGAAATTTTTACCTTATTAGAAATTAAAACTAAAAGTTTTTAAATGTTCATTAACTTATTTATAAATAATAAACCCATTAATATAAGTAATAGTTAAACACATAACATACCAATTTTCTAAAATTAAAAAACAAATGGTGAAAGAGTGGCACTGTTTTTACATTTGACAAAATGTAGACACTGACAAAAATATCTTTAATGTCAATATCTAGCTAAATAGAAAATAGCTAGATTTGTATTTGACTTCTGCATGTAATCTGTTGTGACATACTGTTATGATTGAAGTATACAGAGAGAATATAGCTTTATACAGATATGCAGTTGAAAAATAAAATGGGCCAGGCATGATGGCTCACACCTGTAATCCAAGCACTTTGGGAGGCTGAGGTGAGTGGATCACCTGAGGTCAGGAGGTAGAGACCGGCCTGGCCAACATGGCAAAACCCCATCACTACTAAAACTACAAAAAATTAACTGGGCACGGTGGTGCACACCTGTAATCCCAGCTACTCAGGAGGCTGAGGCAGGAGAATCGCTTGAACCTGGGAGGCAAAGGTTGCAGTAAGCCAAGATCGCGTCACTGCACTCCAGCCTGCTCGATGGAGTGAGACTCCATCTCAAAAAAAAAAAAAGTTTTTGCAGAGTCCCTGAAAGGGTCTTGGACTCTCAGGAGTCCTTGAACCACACTTTGAGAATTGCATTCTAAATAGTAGCTCACTTTCTGGAATTAGGCATCTAGGAATACTTAGGATAGACAAGACTACATTTCATACCTTGTTTTCTTCCCCTTGTCTCAGTCTTCCAGGACTTGGAGGAACTGAAGGTCTCTTTCTACCCTTTTCCTGTTGGAAAAGGTCCTGCAACCTGTGGCCAAAGGCAAAAAGAAAGGAAAGAAAAGAAAAAGAATATGGCTTGTTTCTATCACCGTGAGTGCTGTTTATAAATTCTCTCTTTACAACTTTGAAATCACAAAGTTTTCCTATTGGGATTATCACAGTCTTTGAAGTTATATGAGAGTAAGTTCTTGTCATATCTAATTAACCAGGAGCATTTGCTGATAAGACTATAGTTGTAAAAGAATAGCAAATTATTATAAAGAAAAATACTTCTAAAAATGTATATTTAAATAAAGGCATAAGATAAACATACCAATATATTTGGAATTGCTGGCCAAAAACCAACACTCATGGCATACTAATTCAGTTAAAAACAATTTAACGGCACACACATCTGAACAACATTGTTTCAAATCATATGAGAAACAGCATTAAAGGCTGTTCTCCTCTTTGATTTTCACATCTTCACAAACTACCTAAAGAATAACACATATATTTTTAAATATAAAGAAGAAAGGAGGGTGAAAAAAAAAAAAGGTTCTTTAACTTGAGCACAAAATGAAACATCAATAATTAAAGATTTTTAAGATTTTAGATATCGCATAGGAACAAATGTGGCAATAATATTAAAGAAAACCAGACTGCAAAATCACACCTGTTATTCCAAGCTTGCAGCACTTCACAGAGACTTTGTTTCTTGGCAATAAGTGACTCGAAGACCGACTGTAGTTGCTGAGGGGTATCTACAGAGGAAGACATGAGCCTTGCTTGCATCTTCTCAATCCAGTTCTTGAACTCGCCTTCTTCCATCTACAAGGAACAGAAACAATTTCAGGAGACAGAGACACTATATAGACATACCCCAAAAGAAACTTCTAGTAAGTTAATAATTAACTTCTGAATTTTCTACCAAAGAAATAAATTACCTCTTTCTGTGCAAAGATATCTTCCATTTTTTCCTCTCTTGTTTTACTAAATGTATCAGTTTTCAAAGATGCAAGTCTTTCATCAACGGCAAGATACACCTGTGAAACTCTAACAATAGAAAGAGAGAACATTAAACACTAGAAAGGGTGAATCAAATTTTCTATCTCACATAAATAGAAACAAAAAGTTACATACAAAACATAATTGAAATAATGTTTTACCTAATTAAGAATTACACACAGTTTTGCAGAGCAAATAGGACCTAAATGGATGTACTTGAAAATTTTAAGTTATGTCTAAAAGAGTTCGGCTTCTTTTGTAGTATCTTTCCATAACGTCTACAACTTTCTTTTTGTACACCAAGCATGCGTAGCATACAATTAGAAAAGTTATTTACATTTTCAAAGGAAGTTAAATGAAAAATACTTTAAAATACTAATACTTTAAAATAGCTGTAAATAATCAAAAAAAGATGATTTTTAAAACTGAACTTACTTTTGAAAAAAGTCCTTCAGATCCTGAAGCAGGGATACTTTTAATGGGGCCTGACGCTTAATGAATATTTTGGGGAGTGGAACACATACTTCAAGAAGCCGAATAGGAGAATAACTGAGAGAAGAAAATACAAGAGCCAGTAGAAAAGGAAAAACAGTTTAATACCTTGAATAGAACTGTATCATGATGGTCAACTAAATCCTATGAGGCATAAGAGAAAAAGTTTTTATAAAATAGCATTTTAAAACAATCACAAAGATATTAAAGATAACTTTTAGCCATTATAATAAATATCCTCCCCAGTTTTGGAGGGATTTTGTTTTATCTTTCATTGCACTGTAGTACCATCATTTATTCCTTGAAGTTACCCTTACCTGCTATAAAAACAAAAATGATTGCTATAAACCATCCCTATTAATAAGGAAACTAAAAAGTAATGAATACCTACAATTAGATGTAGATATACAGTTAGATACAGGTATTCATTACCTTTCCAGCTGCTGAAGATTCTTCATGAGTCTTTGTTTCCTTTCTAACTGAGGGTTTATATTGACTAACAAATGCTACAACCCCACTCACCCACAGGATCCTAGATGCATGGTTAAAAGTTCTTGCTTAAAAAAGGAAATAAGCTCTAATTAGCAAATATTTCCTGAGGGTCTATTATGTGCCAGACACTATTTTAGGTGCTGAGGATATAACAATTCCTATTCTCATAATTCAGGAAAAACAAGATTCAGGTAACAAACAAAACAAATACATATCAGATGCTCAGCACTATGGAGAAAAGTATAGCAAGAAAGAGAAGAAGCAGAGTGCTAGGGTGGGAGAGTGCCAGGGCAGGTGAAATTTGAGCAAAGACTTGTAGGAGGCAGGGAAGCAACCAGCAGATATCTGGGGAATGAGCAGTTTCGAGAGGAAAGAACAAGTACAGAAACCTAGGCAGAACCCTACCTGACTTACCTGAGGCCCAGTCAGGAGGCCAGTGGGGCAACAGCAGGATGAGTGAAGGGAGGATGGTAGGAGGTAAGAGCAGAGAGGTCCTGGGCAGTCAGAGCAGGTAGGAGATTAAAGGCTAGTCAACAGACTTAACTTTGGCTTTCACTCCAAGTGAAACAGATACCCTTTGGAGTGTCTAGAGCAGAGGACTGGCCTTAGCTGATTGCCTCTTAAAGGAACTACTCTGACTGCTGTGTTGAGAAGAAGCTAAGGGGACAAGGCCAAAAGGAGACTACTATAATAATCCAGGTGAAAGATAACAGAGGTTCAGCCCAAGTGGTAGTGGTAGAGGTGGTAAAAAGTGCTTAGACTCCGGATATATTTTGAAGGCAGAAGCTGAAGGCTTTCTCAAATTATTTAACACCACAATGGCAAATATCAATTATTTGAACATAGAATTTTAGCTCTATCAGAAATATATGATTATCCTTCTGGTTAATGTCTTGGCAAAAATTCTGACAGACTTCCAGATGCCATCAGATGCCAAAACAATGGTTAAGAGTTAGGCCAGGGCCCAACATGGTGATGGTTCACATTTATAATCCCCACACTTAGAAAGCCCGAGGCAGAAGGATCACTTGAGCACAGTTCAAGACCAGCCTGGGTAACAGTGAGATCCTGTCTCATATTTTTTCTAAAATTTTTATATTAAATTTTAAGAGTGAGGCTGGTAGTAGGTCGACCAGGGTTCAAATATGACTCCATCATTTGACAGCTCTGTAATTGAACAACTGTAAGCTCTGTAAGTAAGGATAATAATAACTATTTCATAGGGTAAAGAGTAAATAAAATAATATTGAAAGTTCTTACAGTCTGGTCCTCTGCATTGGTAAGAGTGGAAATGGGGAATCCCACAAATTAATTCAATCTAGTAACAGTGAAAATGTTAAAAAAAAATTCTTAAAGGATTATCAGATCTGAGATCAGGTACAAGGTTCCTAGGATTTCTTACCTGAAAGACGCCACCATCTGGTTATAGGAGAAATACTGGTGATAATCATGATGGATGGAGTGACCACAGGGCTCAGCATTGGCTCTGCGAGTATACTGGTGCCCATAAAACCTAAGTTCAAGGTATTTTGCAAATGACATAGACCAGGACTCATTGGAAAGAGCAACAACTGGTGTTACCTGGAATTCAGCAAAAATAGTTTACCTGATCACATATTGCAAATCTGTTTTTTAAAAAATAACATTTTCTTTTCTAATACAAGTGTAATATATATTGACTGCAGAAAACTGGGAAAAGAATGAAACGTTCAAAGGTGGGTGGATTTGGGCGGGGTGGAGGAGAGCAACATCACCAATAATCCCACCACCACCATCAGTATATTAGTATATGTTTACTTTTGATATATTTTATATTATATATACACACACACACATACATATACACAGGCACACACAGTCAGTATATTTGTAAATAAAAACTCTTTCCTATTAGTTTCATATTACATAATTAGTTTAGCAATCTATCGTGAATATTTTCCCACACAAAATATTCTTGTACAACTTTTCAAATGGCCACAGAGTATCCTATTATATGAACATATATTTAACCAATCTTTACTGATGAGCCTTTAAGACATTACAAGTTTTTCCATACTGAGATGATGCTCTGATGAACATCCTTGTATATATTTACAACATCCACAATTATTCCCTTCGAATAATAAAGGTGGAAATTGGTAGGTCAAAGAGCATAAGCATTCATATGGTCTTTGATAATTTTTGCCACATTATCTTCCAAAACAAGTGTACCAGTGTATATAGTCTCAAACAGTATTTAAGAATATAAATTTCTCCCACTTTTACCAATCCTAGGAATTAGAATTGAAATTTTTGAAATGTGATCTCCTAAAGAAAAATTTTTGAAAAGATTTTACTGGTTTCATGTATGCTTCTTTGACTACTCATGAGTAACATGATTAGTAGCCATTTGCATTAAATTGCATTGTCATGTTCTTTGCCCATTTTTCTACTATCATGGCTTATAGCAATTTAATATTACATAAATTTATGTTTAGTCATATATGTTGTATTTTTCCTTAACGCTAGAAGTTTTTCATTTTAGTGTAACAAAACTTACCTTTTCCTTTCTAGCATAAAAAAGCAAAAGTTTTTGTTTTAAAATAAAGTGTATATAGCAAAGCATATAAGACATAGAGATCAAATTTAAGTTATTCATTTAGTACGATGGTCAATCTAGAGTTCACATATTCTACCACAGACTATTACCAGCTATCTAATAGGAACTAAAGCCTGTAAGGACAAGTATGAAACTAAGACTGAGAATTGCTAGAAATAATTTTATGTCTGTATGTTTGCTGCTGCAGGTGCAACTTTGATTTTGCCCTTCTCTACCACTGATTAATGTAGGTCATGCTATTATTTTATATGTAATTCCCACATGTGCCTTCCAAAAGCACACTTCAAAATAGCCCAATTAAGGCCAGGCACAGTGGCTCACGCCTGTAATCCCAGCACTTTGAGAGGACGAGGCGCGTGGATTACCTAAGGTCAGGAGTTCGAGACCAGCCTGGCCAACATGGTGAAACCCTGTCTCTACTAAAAACACAAAAATTAGCTGGGTGTGGTGGTGCACACCTGTAGTCCCAGGTACTCGGGAGGCTGAGGCAGGAGAATAGTTTGAACCCGGGGGACGGAGGTTGCAGTGAGCTGAGACCACAAAACTGCACTCCAGACTGGGTGACTGACCAAGACTCAAAGAAAAAGAAAGAAAACAAAATAACACAATTAAGGAAATGAGTTAAATTTGGAATATTTTATCCAGATTGCTTAAAATTATATATTTAAAAAATACAATACTGGCACCAAACACTTGTCCCAGAATTAGAAAAGTAAGAAAGGCACAAAGAAGAAATAAAACACATGTCCTTCTCTCAAGAACCAACATGAAAACCAGTAGAGATCAGTTTCAACATGGTCTCATCTGTATATGGATAGAAATGTTGATATAGGCTCAAATTTATTATACAAATATCCTAATATACTGCAGTTACTGCTTTACACGTCTGTCTCCTCCCCTATAGAACAGAAGTCACTCCTTATTCTTTTTTTCATTCCTAGGGCCTAGCACAGTATCTGGCACACAAATGGTGCTCAATAAGTGTCTGTTGAAAGAATTAACAAATTTAATTAGGAACTGTCAAGATACAACCTCAAGATATCTTACTGTACAAGGCACTTGTATTTTATTTAATGACCGATACATTCCTAAGATGAGATCTTCAAAAAACAAATACTAGATTGAACATACAGCACTGGAAGCTAAGATAACAAAGACAAACAGAGCTCAATGACAAATAACAAATCCATTATAATATAGAAGACTTTCCCTTCCAAAAAAAAAAAAAAAATACACAAATAAAGAAATAAATGGCAAATAAAATATAGGAATAGGGTCTGTTTACCTGTTTGCAGATTCTACACCAGGAATATGTAAGAATTGTATGTTGATATCCAGGTACTGGGGAATCCAACTCCTTCAGGATTATCTGCACACAGCCTTGGCCATGAACAAAGCGCCGAATGTGATGTACCATGGGGGTATCACAGAACATGCTTGGACACTGATAAGAAGGCCTTTGACAAACAAAAGAGCCCTTCTCACATTAAGCATGAAACAGAGAAATCAGAACCACTGACTGGTGGACAATCTGCACAAGGTACTCATGCTGCTCTGAGCCTGCAGCTGAACATCCTGTCTTCAGCTACAGCATGGTGAGAGTTTCCATTTGTTAAGAACCTTCTATTTGCCAAATAATTTTAAAGCATTTTCTTTTACCCTCTGACAATTCTGGGGATTGTTATTCCCTAAAAAGGGGACTAGTAAAGTGTTTTGTCATGTAAGTGGCAAGTGATAGCGCTAAGACTTAAACTGAGGTCTAGATGATTCCAACACTTTACCCGCTTCTCACTTGAATCACTGTATAAAAACAGATTCCGAAAAATGTCGATGGTAGGGTAATTAGATGGACAGAGATATGAGGAATGTTCTGGATAAGATATCTCAGTTTAAATATGGGATAGACTACTTCTTTGAATGATATACCCTGATATGCACTATGAAAGTGAGGATCATACAACAGTCACTTGACATCCAACTCATGTTTACATTTTAGGATGAAATTTTGAGTATCAAAAATGTGTAATGGAATATAAGGAAGAAATGTGTTCTTACCTGAAACAGTATCTCTCTAAAAATATTCCTAACGTAAGATCATTCTTTCCATAAAATTCCATTGTTACAATCCTAAAAGAAGAGACAGCCTCTTAGAAACATAAGAATTACCATACACCAAAGACATTTCATAAGACCACAAATTATGATTACCCATTAAATGTACAGTACTTACAATGAAGTATGAAAGCAGGTAATATTCTTTGTTGTTATGGAATAGATTTTAGCTCATCCAATACAACAAGTTTAGACTAGCCACACTATAGCATCTTTTTCACTCCCAATCCACTAGTATCTTATAAAATGAATGAGGATGCATAATCTATAATATTGAGTAAAACTGATTTGAGTTAGGAAGAGATAAAGGTTTCCTTTACAAAGGCTTAAGCCCTGTCAACACAAGGCAGGACTCCTGTCTCCTACTCTCTTGTCCATGCCTTTACTGAGCATGGAAAACAGCAGTTCTTGCTAAAGTGCCAGTTCCTACCTTTATATCTAACCTATAAATGCTCACAAGACAGTTTGACTACATAACTGGTGAAACCCACATCTTATTCAAGCCTTAACCTACGGCGTTTATAAACTCCCAGAGAAAATTCCTATGGGTTCTGCCAGTCCCAAGTCTGCCTGCTGAAGCTATACTATTAGAAGAACCCATGAGCTCACTGCTGGAAATAAGTGTTTCAAGAATTCGAAATTAAAACACAGAATATGCTTTGGCATGGAAACAGTGCCCCCAAAAAAGCAGTTACGTTCCACAGTATGTTTAAAAGTAAAGGTGAACTATGTAATGTAAGGCTATATACATCTATGTGAGGTTTTTGTGACAATAATTTGAAAAAAATAATTTAAAACAAAATGTATTTCAATTTCTATCAATCTACTTAAAATTAAGTTTTAGACTAAAATCCATTAATAAAACAAAAGGTTGACTGCTTCTATAAAAATTATGCCTGAAGGAAAACCTGCCTAAATTGTACATACTATCATCAAAATGCTTATAAAGAAGCTTTTGTGTGTCAACTTTCTCACTTTTTTAAGCACAGGTTGAGCATCCCTAATCTGAAAATCCAAAATCCAAAATGCTCCAAAATCTGAAACTTTTTGAGCACCAACGTAACACCACAAGTGGGAAATTCCACAACTGCAACCTTTGTTTTCCGATGGTTCAATGTATACAAACTTTGTTTTATACACAAAATTTTTACAAATCTTGTATAAAATTTACTTCAGGCTACATGTGTAAGGTGTATATGAAACATAAATGAACTTCATGTTTGGACTTGGGTCCCATCCCCAAGATATCCCATTAAGTATAGGCAAATATTTCCAAATTTGAAAAAATACTAAGTCCAAAGCACTTCTGGTCCCAAGCATTTCAGATAAGGGAAAGTTAACCTATACAGATTTCTCTTCTATGTCTCACATTTTTTTCACTCTTAAGGTACTCTCATTTACTTCTACTCATGAACAAACATGTATTTTCCCATTTACTTCACAAGTTTAAAAGTTCTATTCATATGTGACCAGCAATGTGCCATGTACCTAAAAACAGGTCCTAATGACTGTTTTTTTTTCAATTGCTAGAATTCTGTTCTTAAGTGGAATAGTGTAGGGGGAAAAGAATCCTACCATGGACTGACACAGGCACTAGGAGCATTGCTGGACTGGGCAGAAGAGCTGCTGAAGAGCACACAAAGTCTCTGGTGGTTAATGGGATTCAGACAGTCTACCTAAAAAAGAAGGAATCGATGGATAAGCAAGCGACTGCAACCGCATTCAACCCCAATGCACCAAACACACTCCACTCTATTTGTGAAGCCTCCAATTACTGCTGTAGGGGCTCTGGTCAAGATTTAAAACTACAGGAAACTAAATGTAAGGAAGAAAGGCAGTTAGTTTTTCAGAAAAGACAACCCAAAAAGTTTAAATTAAACTTAAAAATACAAAATGATGTCTAAATAGCTTGTTTTCTTAACTTATTCTTCATTTTTACAAAACTGCAATAAATTATTTTGGAAGAAAAATTAAATACATCCATATTTAACAGTCTGAACTGATGGCTGAACATCAATCTGAGACACCCAGAAATCTGAATTCTAAAGAAATAAATGTAATACCAGTTATCTGTTAAAATTCAAGTAGTATAGAAGTCTATGAAGAAGTTCAGGAAATACACAAAACCACTCCTTCTATGATTCCTCTAAACCTCCCAAGCTGAGCAATTTGACTCTGTGGTTTTAAAGTAACTATTCTTTTTGCTAGTTCACATACCCTATCCCACATACACACATCACTTCCTATCTAAGTACACACAGGGAGTTTTGTTTTTATAAATATGAAATAATGCAACACATATTAAAACACAACTTGCTTTTTAACACTTCAAATATAGCATGGGCTTTATCTAAGTCATTAAATGACTTGAGATCCTGCTCATCCTTTAACTGCTTTAATAAATATCTTTGTACATATATTCTTATAAAATGAAAGCATCCTTATATAAGCATACTTAATTATTTCTGCAGGAATAGATTATCAAAGTTGGAGTCCTGGGTCAAAGGTATTTACATGTATGTGTAAATCAATACTTTCCTATTGCCTTCTATAAATTTGTATAAATTTATACAAATATACAAATACATACATTTTATAAATTTATGTAACATTTATGAAAGGTGTTTTTCCATGCCAACATTAACCATGGGTCTTTTATCACTTTCCTTTTTGCTAATCTCACAAATAAAAAATTATTTAGCAACACTATTATTTAGCACTTCTTTGACTACTAGAGAAGTTGGACATTTTTTGTTTTATTAAACAAGTGCATTTCCTCATCCAGCAATGGATTTGTTCATTAGCTCTATTGCTACCATTATCAGTAATACGTCTATAAACTTCCTTAATTTGCTCTCAATTTATGCCTAAAAAGGTCACTGTCTTAGTTAAATAACAAATCTTTTTTTAAAAAACACATCTATTTCCTGCTTTTTAAAAAAAAACACATCCATTTGCTGCAATAAGCTTCCATCTCTGACTCCCTGACACAAGGTTCAAGGATTATAATACCACATCCGAGTCATGTCAAAAATTTTAAGGATCTTCCTAGCTTACTGTAAGCTCATCTTAAGGCCCTGAAACCCAGGTTCATTACAATTCTGCTTCATACATATTAAAATAACACAGAAGCCAGCAGACTCAAGACAAAAACTAAAACAGCATAGAAGAAGTATGTCACAAATCTGGATGCAGTGTGCCAAACTGATTTTTTTAGCCTGCCTTAGAGGAGTCTTTCAACACATTTTAAACTTACACGAGCATCAAAAAGCAGTCTGGCTCACCTTTGTTGACCACAGAGCATCACTCTGAATAAGCCCTCTCTCTTCGTCACCCTCGTTTTTGCTTCCTGATTTGCCACTTGAAGTGCTTGATGCATCCTTTGAATGAGCAAAAGGGTCTGAATTTTTTGGCTGAATTCTTCCTCCTCTGGCTCGATAGTCGGCCAGCATTCTACCCAAGCTCTGGCTATCGCCCAGATGCTCAGCAATTCTAGTGCTCACTAGCTCATGTGAGGGTAAGACTTGAATAGACTTGGCCTGAATACTTCCATTCATGCCCTGAAGTCCAGAGAGATCCCTGAGCAGCTGTTTCTTCCTCCTGTTCTCCATTTCTTTGAATTCTTTATTGAGGAGAGGAGACCAGTAAACCTGCTCTGCAAAATAATCTCGGGTAGAGCATCTTATCCCCTTTTCAGTTAAAAGGAAGGGTTCTCGGAATGTGATTACCGGGGAGATACAGAGGATCACATCTTTTAATTCCTGCTTAAAGGCCAAAGAATAAGTCTTTCGTTTATCTTCAGAGGAGATGACTTCCTCAGTAACATATAATCCAGTGTCATCCTGCAGAGGGTCTCTAAAAGCTCTCATCTGGCTTTTGGGATCCTGCAGCACATCTGCTTGCTGCAAAGTCTCTGGCTGCTCACTGCCTAATGCATCCTGTTGGTCATCCACAGGAAGTGGCAACAATGATTCCGGTACAGGTGGAAAGAAAGCACAAGGGAGACCCACTGGGCAAGCTGTTGTGGTATGTTCTTGATGCTTCAAAGAGGCAATAGCCTGGGGCACATTTTTATTTTCCTGCTCACCCTTCTCAAACACAATCCTTGATTCCAGCAGACTGCTATCATCACAGGGCAGAGACTCAGGAGGAATGTCAGGATCCCAGGGGAGGGAACCTCCGCTGTACTGCTCTTGTGCAGCCCCCTCATGCCCTCGTCCCTCAATCAGGGAATGGAATGAAGGGTTTTGCATTAACGTGGGAGGCATAGCAAATTCATCCATAAGGAAGGAAATTTCTAATTGAGAATGATAAGCGACACAGATCATAAATATTAGGATCTCCTTAACTCGGGCCAGCTCATAATCAGAGCCTCCTCTAAGCTTGATTGTACAGCCTAGGTGCTGTGGACAGCCTTCAAAAAACATCAGCGTCTTGGTTTGTTCTACAAATAATAACAAACAGAAAGTTAAGATGGTGGAGGTGGCCATCCACAAGTCCATATAGACTTAATTCACTCTCTTAACATCTATAAAAGAAAAACTTTTACATGATTAAGATCACAGTTGCCTATCCTCACTTATCCATTATTAATAGGTATTTCCTACTAATTAAACATTGTAGTACTGATAAGTCAACTCTTTTCCTCAAGTCAATCTATGCCAAAGATCACTCACCATTAGGCAACTGAAATATCTGCATATAAAATTTGTGACAAGTGCCCAGGTGTGGTTTCGTAAGCAGCTGGTCCATTGACATCACTAAATCACCTTGGGTCATACGACTGATTCGTTCCAAAACTTGCTACAAAACAGAAAAACATTATATTACAAAACTAGAGAAAAATAAAAATCTTATAAATTTAATCTGGAAATGTAATGAAAAGCTTACAAAATAACATTCACAACAAATAATTTTTAATTTAATAAATTTTTAATAAAAAATTTTTATAAATATATGATGAATTTTTAAATTCTGGATTCTTCTACACCTAGTTGCTTAGTAATCAATATGTGCCCACTGAAACGTAACTCATATTAATAACATTATCAAAATGCATTTAAGCATCATGGATTATCACAAGTTACTGTAGGAAGAGGAAAAAAAAAACTTCCTAGAATTGGCCTTTTTTCTGCAGACGGTAAACAAAGTGAGAACATTTTCTGCTTGAGCAATTTTCCAACAAAAATGAAGGATCAACAAATACCTACTGATTAACCAATGTCCATTTCAGTTTTGGTCTTGTAGACACCAATAATAAGTATTACATAAAAGTACATGTTCTTCCAGTCTAAGATTCTCAATTTTAAATAATGAAATAGGTGCCATATCTTCTGTCCCACTTTCAATATGTATGGTAAAGCAAAGAAAAAAAGATTCATGTATACCTACCATATGTGCATATAAATTTAAAAGCTGTGATTTAAAAAAAAATACAAAAATAAAAACACTCACTGATTTTACATTAATGACCAAAGTAATGCCATGTTCCAATAACATGTCCTGGGCAATCCGAGAAACTGTTTTCTCAACTAGAACCAAGGTGGGTCGAACATCAACTATTCGCTGAACATAATTCTTCAAGAATTCCCTTTCCTAAGTAAGATAAATCAGAAATATTACACCTGGTAAAATTCATTATCTGGACATATTAAGATATCAAGATAGCTTGACGATTATTATCAATCTTAGCCTATATTTTCTTCATCCACAAATAAGTCTGTAAGCAAATTAATTCAAACACAGTAAGAATCTCATTCATCATTCTAAACTTGATTATGCTGACAAGAGTTTAAGGAGAGATTCCATTCTCCAACTAACTTTCCTTGAAAGATTTCCAATTCTTAATTTAAAAGCCAAGAATCCAATTATCTAGTTCAGAGGTTAAAAAAACAAGAACAAGAAACCTAACCTCACAAACAACTCCCAAAATAAAAGTAATTTCTAAGATGTTGGTTTTTTTTTTGTTTGTTTGTTTTGTTTTTTTTTTAAGAGACAGGGTCTCATTCTGTCACCCAGGCTAGAATGCAGAGGTGCTGTCATAGCTCAATGTGACCTAAAAGTGCTGGGCTCAAGCACTCCTCCTGCTTCACTCTTCTAGGAGTACAGGCACATGTCACCATGCCTGGCTAATTTTTTCTTTTTTTATTTTTTGTAGAGACAGGGTCTCACTATGTTCCCCAGGCTGGTCTTGAACTCCTGGCCTCAAGCAATCCTCCCACCTTCAGCTCCCAGAGTGTAATCACAAGTGTCAGCCACTGTGCCCAGCCCTAAGTGGTTTTAATATGGTTATGAATTCTGTCCTCTACATTCTGAAACCAACATGAGTTAACTCTTTTTCTGGATATCTGAATAAATAACTCTAATAGATGCTATTTCACCTACTTCCTAATTCTAATTTCCCAACAGATCATATAATACCTAGAACAGCTACAGTTAAAGATCTCAAATATAATTCTAATATATTTTTATCATAAAGTTTTAATTTCAAAAGAAATGAATATTATAAAAAACAACCGAGTGAAAACAACAAAACTCATTAATTGCTTCATAATATTTCTGGGCTCCATTTGGGAGACAACTGAAGATAAGCATATTTGCCACTCCTACTCCATGTACCCAAAGTGTTTTCTGAGCAAGGCTATATTAATGTCCCTTACCGCCCACAATGGATGAGCCTACTCACTGCAATAAACTTGCCCTGTTATGAAGTATATTGCTTCTTGCCTTTGTTTTACTGATACTATTTCTTTTCAAATTCTCCCATTATTAACAAAATGGATTTTTTCCTAAATGTGTTAATTTCCTACTGTACTTATTAAACTGTAATTTAATAGCATTTAAAATAATTTTATTTGTATAGCTCTAATAAAGTATAATCAGAATAAGTTGACTTCATTTTTAAATTTTCTACTTGTGGTACAAAGATGGCAAATAACTTTCCTTCCAGTTTGAACTCCAATCAGCTATCATGACTACTCATGAAACAACATGTCAAAAAGGAGGCCTGGTCCAAGCTCAGCAAGGGAAGAGTACCAGGAGGTAGGCCACAGGCACAGCAGTGGGGAACCAAGAGATCTAGCAGGCCCGGCCTTGTAAGGAGAGTATAAAGTCACAGGCTGATTATCTCCTTGCCCTTTGTTTCTCCTCCTTTTTCTGACTATCTGCCTTTCAGCTTCTTCTCTGATTATTCCACACTGGGCAGACAAAACACAAATACAGAAAAAACTCAAATGAGCTGGAACTTTCTATCAATTCACAAAAAGCTCAAATCAGCTGATACTTTCTATCAATTCAAACTAGGAAGTTCAATTGGGCAGGAGTTAAAGGTATAATAAAAACTATGTTTGAAAGCTTTGATGAACAACATGCTTTATGTTATGTGAGTTAAACCATGTTTCCTAAGTACACATCTGCCCAGGGCATATCTCTCTAACAAAAAAAGCTTTAGTCTGTTAACCTGACTGTAAAAATAAAGTAATAATAATGTGAATAAATTTAACTATAACTTTTTAAAATAAATAAACACCTATATGTTTCATCAATTCCAAGACATACAATTTTATGAATTTTAACTTCTGGGCAACCAGGATGCATCTTAGTCAAGGCAATTCTGATCTGATCATGTGAAAGTCTTCTGCTGACAATCTTCTGTGGAAATTAACAAAACCTCCAGCATCCAATTATCTTAGGTTCCCTGAACAAAAATTACTGTGTTTCCCGCTATTCCATTAGAGTTCTCTACAAACCTGTCTAGTCAAAACTCATCGTTTTTACTGACAGCACAGCTAAATTCCAAAGAGAAAAGAGCCCCAGGTAACAGAGTTCTTAAGTAACACAGCGGAGTTTTTATAAACACTGTGCCTTTTACTACAACTCAGTTTCTCTTACTGTTATCTATGAAATCAGTACAAAAGTGATTGTTCCTACCACTCTTAAAAAAATGGAATTACCGGCCAGGCGCGGTGGCTCACGCCTGTAATCCCAGCACTTTGGGAGGCCAAGGCGGGTGGATCACAAGGTCAAGAGATCGAGACCATCCTGGGCAACATGGTGAAACCCCGTCTCTACTAAAAATACAAAAAATTAGCTGGGCATGGTGGTGCGTGCCTGTAATCCCAGCTACTCGGGAGGCTGAGGCAGGAGAACTGCCTGAACCCAGGAGGCAGAGGTTGCGGTGAGCCGAGATCGCGCCATTGCACTCCAGCCTGGGTAACAAGAGCGAAACTCTGTCTCAAAAAAAAAAAAAAAAAAAAAAAAAATGGAATTACCTGGAATTTTCAAGTAATGCTTTTCCTAAAGGTTTCTGGAACCTAGTATAAGTGTTTCCACTATAATATACACATTCCTAAAAAGCTTCCATTTTGAATGATCACAAAGTAAAATGAACAGCATTCATGGAAGAAAAGGAGTTGGCGCAGAAAACTTTAAAACCTATGAAGGTATAAAGTTTAAAACCAACTTTGTACCTTCAACACTAACAAAAATAATGAGGACAGCCCAGGCAGAGAGCTTAGTATGGCATGAGGCTGCCTCAAGTGAAATTAAATGCACAAAAACTATTGCAATGCTGCAACTGGAAACAAAGCACTGAGCAGTAAAGCTACCAAGAACCACGCAGGGATGTGGGTGTCCCTCCCTGGGGAGAGAGGCCTACAAGCAAAAGCTGACTTTTACTTTCTTAAAATAGAACTTGAAAGGCTTCTGCCTGTGTAGCAGCTGAACTGAGGCTGTTTTATTTTCTGGCTGAGGGTTATAACCTACTGCAGCTATTCTGGGCCTCCCTGCTTAGGAAAAACCACTTAGAAACCAGCACAACTTCCACCTGATACTATTCTGTTTGCCAACTACATATAAGCTAATTGGTGTTTCAGAAATGTGTTTTAGTAGCACAGACTGTATTAAAAACCAGAGATTCCATTAGAAATCTGGTAAGTTAGAGAAATACAGTAAATCAGTGGATTAAGTGGGAAAGGGAAACTAGTATTTGGATTTTAACCTTTTCTTCCTTATATTCTTGAACAGTCACCTTACCTTTAACACTTGAAACTTTAAAAATTATGAGTGACAGAGGTTTTGGTAAGCTATCAAGTTTTCCTATCCAACTTAGCTAGAATTAAGTCAAAATCAGTAAGAATTTACAAGCATGATGGTACACATACATCCCTCCAAATTATGACTTTCAGTAATAAATTCTTACCTGAAGCACAATAGGATCAATGCAAGTAAACTTAGTTTCTTCTCTGTAAAGATACTCAATGGAACACTTCAACAGAAGAATTTTAGGGTTTTTAATACAAGAATTCATCTACAAAAAAATTGAACAGTTTGTTAAAGCTTTAAAGGTTTGCATTTTACAGCTCTCCTTTAATTATAACTTTAAATCTAATAATGCTTATAATTCTTATTAACTTATTGTATCTCAGCATTAGTATACTCTCATTTAGTTCTTATATGGTATTAAATTTTTTCAAAGCAAATAATTTGTTAAGACCAATGCAAAATTCTTCAAAAATTGGCTTTGCTTTCTTATTATTAATCTTCTATACTCTGAACTTTATTTTTTTATTTCTGATGCTGTAAGAAGGGACGTTATGCCCTGAGTGTGCACAGAGGGAACGGTAGTTAATGACAGGTTACTTCACAAACTCCAATAAGCAACTTTAAAAGCATATTTTAGTCTTTCTAAAATTCAAGAGGAGCAGAAGAGGGAGAAAATAATTAAAATGCCTTCTGAACATATTTCTAATAGAATAAATTTCCAAACAAGGTGGCAAGCTGAAATACGTAATGTGAAGCTTAAAAAGAAAATCTGAAAGCATCTCCAGAAGCAGAGACTCAAATAATATACCCTAACCATGTGCTTAAAGCCACAGACAGAATAGCCTAAATCCTCCAATTGAGGTTTCAGGATGACCAAATTTATGGACCCCAAACTGGCAAACAGTTCTGAAAACAGTGACTCACTAGCTGGGGAACTCAATTCAGGATTCTTTTAGCAACTACAAACCAAAGACTATGTCTAATCAGTGGGGCAAGACAGTCATTCATGCATATGTTTCCACCACACTCACATAAAAATTTTCTTCACTTTCTGAGAAGGGCACAACATGTTTACCTCCTAATTCAACAAATATCATTTAATTTGATTTAAAGTTCTCCTTTAAAGGGTAATGTGTGGTTTTAGTAAGACTCTGTGGAAATACTGACGTGGGATTATTGCTATAAAATATTATTGAAGCCAAGCATATTTTTATTTATCTATGGTCACTAATAATTTTCAGGAATCTTAATGCCTTAGAAAAAATGTATTAGGTTCAACGGAGAAAAAAGTGAAACAAGACTACAGTTCATCCATCTGGTTGCTCAGGCTAGAAATCTGCCTCAGCTCTCGCTGTAACAAAATCAGTATCCCCAGAGGTGGGGCAGGGTATCTCTGTTTTTAATGTTTCCCTTGGTGATTCTGAAGCACAGCAAGATTTGACAACACTGCTATAGATCAGTGGTATGTCAAAATGCAAGGACCAACAAATGATGCTGGAAACACCTACAGTGCCTACTTTTTTTCTTTTTTTGAGACAGAGTCTCACTCTGTCACTGGGCTGGAGTACAGTGGCGCAATCTCGGCTCACTGCAACCTCTGCCTTCTGGATCCAAGCAATTCTGCCTCAGCCTCCCAAATAGCTGGGACTACAGGCGCATGCCATCATGCCAGCTAATTTTTGTATTTTTAGTAGAGATGGGGTTTCACTATATTGGCCAAGCTGGTCTCAAACTCCTGACTTCGTGATCCGCCTGCCTCAGCCTCCCAAAGTGCTGGGATTACAGACGTGAGCCATTGTGCTCAGCCTAGTGCCTACTTTAAATACAGTACCGCCACTTCCCTAACATCCATACACTCCCATTGCCCTTAACCTACTGAAAATGAGAATTTCTAGGGATTAGGCTAGGAAAAGCCATTTTTAACAAGGTCCACAGGTGATCTCAATGTCTGTACACTACACTTTCAGAATCAAAAGACTTTAGAATAAAGTTCAAGACCCATAATGTGATACAAAGCCCTTGCCTGCTTCCTCCAGCTTCATCTGCATTGCCCATATTACACCTTAGGAGCTCAGAGTTGCCTTAATGCCCTAGGTTATCTCACCCCATTCCTTTGTGCTAGTGCTACAAAACCATAAGGTAAGAAGGATAACAGAAGAAAACTGACAGTTCTGTAGCTTAGCTCTAAAAGAGATATCATTTTTATAAGGCTAAGCCTCTGGAAGGACTCCAGCCTATTAGAGAAACCTGTCTCTCTAAGACATGGCAGGGTCAGGAGATAAATAATGCTAGTACTGTATCATTCTGCTGATCTAGAAGCCTGACCTCCTCCTTCCTCCTTCTGTCTGGTGAACTCCCATTATTCAAATTCCAATCCGTTCATCCTCAGCTCTGGAAAACCTTTCCTGAACCTCCCAAATTTCACCCCTATGGCAGACACAGCTGCCTTTCATTGTCCATTTTCCATTTTTTCCATGACTAAGGTACCCCAACTTGTTAGCTTAGCACACAGCCGTGGTTTGCTGAACTTCACTACTGAACTGAATCACATTACCTTTTTATGTGCAATGTTCTTGGTACAAACAAAGCCATTGACAACCACAGAATCAAACTTCTTTCCACCTGGGATCTAATGGAGCAATTAAGAAAACAATAAAATTCAATGATAACATGCTTAGAATCTAGTCAGACGTATACTATTATTCCTTTCCTTTTTTAACTATTATGTAATCAAATAAGAACAAAAAGTTTCAAAAATAACTCTTCCTTTCAACAAGTGTTCAATGGCATCTCTGCATGACTGTTTTTCCATCCCTGCTCTCCAGTGTATTATAACTAGGACTCTAAAGTACTCACTGACTGAATAAACTGGTGCCACGTGACAGTTAACCACTACTATTTAAGTTAAATATCATAGGGAAAAAGCACACACAGGACTCCATTAATATCTAAATCAGGGGTGTCAAATCTTTTGACTTCCCTGAGCCTCAATGGAAGAAGAATTCTATTAGGCCACACATAAAATACACTAACATTAGCTGATGAGATTTTTTTTTTTAATCGCAAAAAAATTCATAATGTTTTAAGAAAGTTTATGAACTGGTGTTGGACCACATTCAAAGCAGCCTTGGGTGCCACATGCAGCCCACAGGGCATGAGTTGGACAAGCTTGATCTAAATAAAGCAAATACCCACTGCTTTTCATCAGAACAGTGATTATAATCTGTGAGAATAGGTTTTCTCATAACTGACGTGTAAAGAAGAGGAAGCAAGAAAGGAAGAACCTATATTTGTTTGGGTTCCCAATTCATCTCCCATATAAGGCATCCTTTCCATTCACCTCTCACTTCCTATAAATGGCTTCCATGACTCCTGAGTGCACTGCTAACAAACAAAGCAGACACCAAAACCTCCGACTCCTCACCCAGCACCCTCAGGGTAATGACTCTTTTTAGATTACCATGAAGAGAAAAATTACAATCAGTCCTGCTTCATAAGTTCCTAGCATTAGTAAAACATCAGCAGATCTCACTTTTTTGATGTGGACAAACTGACGGATATCCATGTCATCATCCTGGTTCTTCACATCAGGTCGGACTGTCTGAACAACCTGGCAGACCAATGACACAATGATGTCCCTCCAAGAGGATGACAGTGAATCACTATGGAGCAACTGCTGGAGTAGTGCCATCATGTGGTTATGATTAGCTGAACTACAAAAATATAAGAAAGAAGTTTGCATAGTTAATATTGCCAGAGACAATAATTCTGATGATAAAAAGAGCAGTCCACAAATAAATAAACATTTCAATTATGGCTCACAGTAAGATTTTTCTAGATCAATTTCATTCTTTCATTATATTTGTACCTTAAGGATTTTGCATATAAATGAAATCTGAGCATTTTCAAGTAAGAAGTCACCTGTAATTGACTGTAATGCAACTTTAACATGTAAAATGGGGACAGACAGGCACAGTTTGGGGCTCTTGGCTTTTGTTTGTTTTTTCTGAGATGAAGTCTTGCTCTGTCACCTAGGCTGGAATGCAGTGGCACGATCTCAGCTCACTGCAACCTCCACCTCTTGGATTCAAGCAATTCTCCTGCCTCAGCCTCCCGAGTAGCTGGGATTACAGGTGCACATCACCATGCCCGGCTAATATTTGTATTTTCAGTAGAGAGAGTTTCACCACATTGGCCAGGTTGGTCTCGAACTCCTAAACTTGTGATCCTCCCGCCTCCACCTCCCAAAGTGCTCCCATTACAGGCATGGGTCACTGCTCCGGCTAGGGCTCTTGGTTTTATAAGGAATTTACTCACAAGTCAAAATAGGCTTTATTTCCTAAGTAATCTAAGTATTTTTCACTTTATAAGGAAAAAGAAAAAGACCTCCCTTTTTAAGAGGAATGATGCATCATGCTTATCAAGTCATTGAAGATAATAAACATGAAAAATTAAAAATTTCAAGTCATTGAAGATAATAAACACGAAAAATTAAAATTAAAAATTTCATTGCCTTACAGCAACCTCTCCATGGCTTGTTTCTCCCCATTCTCCTCCCTCAGGAGCTCCAGGTTGTTATGATGCCAGCCCAAAGGTGTGAAAGGCAGCTCTTTGGATTTTTCCTCTACTCGACGATTAAATAACGATTCTAAGTACAATATAAAATAAGAAGTTATTACTTCATTGTCATGTTTTATACCATCTACTCATGTAGTTAGAAATTTCTCTTTATAAATGCTTTAAGTTAGCCAACATAAATTATTGCTGTAAAAAGGCAAGAACACATAATAAACATATAAATAAAATGCATAAGAAAATACATACAATTACATACACTAAAAATACAGAAATGCAAAAAATAAAAACAGCAGTAACTGGTAACAGCCAAAATCAGAAACAGAACTATGAAAATCAAATGTACATAACAAAGACTCTCAAGACAGTAATTATAAGCACAGTTACTATTTGCTGAAAAGAAAATAAAATGAAACTTTTGCTTCTCCTTTTATTTAATTTTTTAAAAGGAAGGTGTTAATTTTCCCTTTAAAATCACAAACTGGGCCTGGCACAGTGGCTCACGACTGTAATCCCAGTACTTTGGGAGGCCGAGGTCGGTGGATCACCTGAGGTCAGGAGTTCGAGACCAGCTTGGCCAACATGGTGAAACCCCATCTCTACTAAAAACACAAAAATTAGCTGGGCATGGTAGCACATGCCTGTAATCCCAGCTACAAGGGAAGCTTAGGCAGGAGAATAGCTTGAACCTGGGTGGCAGAGGTTGCAGTGAACCGAGAATGCCCCGCTATATTCCAGCTTTGAGACGCCAACTCAAAAAAAAAAAAAAAAATCACAAACTGAGAACTGCATTCAATAGAACTCTAAATGCCGGCAGAAGAACACATGATAGTGTGGGTGATGAATTTTCAAAAAAAGAAGCTCAGCTCAGACTCCCAAAACGACAGATGACAGTGTATAAAGTCTATTATTCAGACAATCCTCAACAGTGTTTCTCTCTCAATATTGGCACAGAGGTTTCCAAACAAAATTTTAGCAAAACAGACTCAAACAAATAAATATAAAACATAAATAACATTTACGTAGAATTTTTGAAAATCTTTTAAAAAGGATTAATGAAAATGAATCGAGACAAAAAAGTATTAAATAGTAAATGCTTAACAAAAAAAAAGGTGTTCACTAAATAACTGTTGAATAATGTGACCAAATAAGTGGAAAGAAGTGGGAAATGCTTACAAAAATTCTCTAACCTGTCCCTTCTTAAAAGCAAAACAAACAAAAAAACTTCCACCAAACAGCCAACCAGACAACATAGTAAAGTATATGTCCATGACATGTGAAGTACAAGAACTGTGCATTTCAATTACATAAAGGGCCACTCTAAACTTCTTGCTGAACCAGATGCTTGGAGGTGAATTTAGAAGCACTGCCAAGCTATCAGATAAGCTGCAGTGGCGTCCTTGTACTTGCTTGCCTTGCCTTCCCTCTTTGATCTGAAACCCTGGAAGCCAAGAAGGAAGGGAACTTTTCTCCCATTATCTGAGGCCTAACCAGCGGAGTATTGTGGACCAATTAAGAATGTCTTTACTCTAGGAAGCTAAGCTAAGTAGGGAAGGAATAGGAGAAGGCTAATACTTTTCTATTCTCCTTTTGTGTCCAAAAGAAATTTATCAGCAGAGTTAGTTCTTTATCCTCTACTGCCTACTTCTCTTCCTCACTCCACAAGGCAAGCAGCATCCTTAACTGGATGAGATCTGCCTGTGGGCTTTCTGACAAATTTGACAATCCTTGATGATATGGTATATCAATACTTAATATTATATTCACAATACAGGAAAGTGTAAACTATGTCTTTCAAAGAATTAAGTTCAAATTATACTTAAAAGTTTTTAAACCAATTACTTTTCACAGAAGAGATCACCTTCTCACAAACCAAGTCCAAGTTTATGTTCTTGGTTCTCAACATTCTCAATCATTCTCAAATCATTATACATATTAAAAACTGTGTTCCCACAATACTACCATAATCAAATATATTTTCAGCACCTTATCTGTGCCAATCAACATGCTAAGCCCTAACTATATCCTCATGAACAAAAAAGACACCATTCCACATACAGCTTTTTACAAAATTACCTTTGATGAAAGCGTCGCTTATTGAGAGCTGTTGTCCTCCAGTGTCAGAAATCAAATACTCTGCATACCAGGGAGACAACAGAGAGGAGGAAGGAAAGGAGAGACATATGACTATAATATGTCAGCGTAATTATATACAGAATACACCCACACACGAAACATTACTCACACTAAACCCATCACTGCCTGGGAAATTCAAGAAAGCTTTAGGTCAAAATGCCTTTTTATGCTTGCTCTACACACTTCATACTAAACTTAAGCAGACTTGCATTAATAACGCAATAGAGCCATGAAACAATTCTCCTTAATTCAAATGTCAGTTACAGAAACGTTCTTCTCTTACCAAAACCAACCAGTTTATGAAAATTAAGATCTTCAGATACTTGTATGACTATCATAAAAGATGACAGTTTTTTTCATGTATAACTCAATGATTTAACAAATAATCACTTTGCCTATGCACAAAGGAGTTTAGAGAGCCCACCTGATAAAACAATATAAACTTTTTAAAAATTTGAGAATATAAGCCATAAAACAAATTAATACAAAAGTGACATTGGCAGGAATAAAGATAAAACTCATCAGTATTTGTATTAGTCCCAAATGTTTTTGTTTTTCAAAACTTCTACCAAACATTGTCAAATTTTTGCTAGATATTAACTGAACACACTCTGAATGCTTTTACTATATTAAATATTTTTCTTACAAGTGAAACTTACTCTTTACTTCCCCATGAACTTTCTCTAGGTCTGTGACCAAGCATAGCTCAAAGGGGTTCTTTCCACTATGCAAATTAAAACAGAATGTATGTTAACTCCTTTAAAGGTAAAGGTTCTCCACAAAATTTTCTCCAAGTTCATTTATAAACAACTGGCTTTAAAGGTTACCATGTTTGTAAGCCAACCTTCCAACCAGGAAATAAACAAAATATTTTATTTAGAAAGTTCAAGTGCACCATGCCAAATACAATAAAATCAAGTATGTGGACAAGATAGATGTTATACTTTATTTCTACTCTTCCCTCACAGAAGTAACACCAAATCCTGTTAGTTCAATTAATGTATTGTTCTTTACCAGCCTCTCACACTAAAGCTTAATCATATCTATATGAGACTCCAGAAATGGTGGATTCAAACCTACAGAAAATGCTGTACACCGTCCACCTGAGTTCAACAATTGTTAAGGATCTGCCATATATGTATATTTTTCTTCGTCCCCAATCATTCAAAGTTACACACATCATGACACTTTACCACTAGTACATCAGCACAACTCCCATAAAAATAAGGGTATTTTTCTCTATAGCCACAATATTATTTACATATTTGAGAAAATTCACAATGTCTTAATAGCACAGAATTGGCCCATACTCAAATTTATCCAACTGTCCCCAAAATGTTTTTAATCAACGGTTTTTTCTCAAGCCTTGATGCAATAAAGTTCACACATGGCATTGGGTTCCTGTATCTCTTCATTCTCTTTTAATCTAGAGCAGACTTTTTTCCTTTTCATAAAATGAATTTTAAAAGAGCCCAGACCTAATGTTCTGTGGAATGTCCCACATTCTGAGTATAGTCAATTGTTTTCTCATGGTGTTTTTAACTTGCTCCTCTACCCCACGTTTTCCTATACATAGAAAACTACATCTAGATGTTTGTGGAAGCCATGCTTTTCACCTTCTTCTCTAGGTTCTACTTGCTAACTTTCCAAGAATAGTTCAGAATCCTGCTTGAAACACATAATACAATATATTTTAATCGTACAACTCTCCAAGACCAATAATGAAAAATTAATCAAGCCAGTTTTATAAGCTTTTGAAAACAGGGTTTTCTCACCTAAGATAGAAAGCATAAACAGTTTTTTAAAAGCACAAACATTCCAATCAATTTATAAATCCATTTTTCCTCAGCCTTAAACAATATAGGACAATCCATAAGAAAATATTTAATAAGTACTACCTGCTATTTCAGTGTAAAGATAAAAACCATTCCCATTAGTATTTATATAAATGGAATGAAAACCAGAAGCAGAAGAATTCTACTATTCTTTCACATAACTACCAGTCTCTCTGGAAATCTCTATTTTCTGATAATCCATGTTCATCTTGACTATAATAACACTGAGCAAATTACAACATTTCAACTTCACAAGAAAAAGTGTAAAAATAATAACTCTTGTTAGTATGCTAAAAACTAAGGAAGAACTATGAAAGCCAGCCACATTTATTAAGAGATTTATAAAGTCTTCAAAGTATAAGGCTGCAAATGACCTAAGAGTTCAATTTAATAATTATCTTCTTCCTAATGCTAGAACCACCTCTATAATATTCTCAGTAAGTAGGCTAACGGATTATAATTTCTCTTTAATTCTAGATCTAGATATTTCATTTCACAGATTTAGAATTGAAAAAAAACTTAGAAGTTCCCAAGTCTATGTAACTCATCACCTGATGTGGGCATCAGTCCTCAATAACCATGATAGGTGGACATTCAGACACAACCTGGACACTTCCCATGCACAGTGGCAAAAGTTCACTACTCTTAACTACTGAATCTACTTCTTCCTTCGGCCATACGCAAATAAATATAATTTCTTTCAGCTACTCTTCAGATACCTAAAGGCAACACCAAGCCTTCTTTTCTCCATTTTAAATCATCCAACTTTCCTTAGCATGGTTTTCAGATGTCTTAGGATCCTGACAACCCAGTTCCATTCATACATCAGAACTGAACACAAAACTTTAAATTGGGTCCTCATTCTAGACATTATATGGCCACTAATGAAATCTATTATTGCCCTGGGGGGTGTGGGGGGAGGGAGGTAGCACATCACACTATTAAATTTGCAAATAACTAAAATTTAGATAGATCTTTATCACACAAATTATTAACAGTGGCTTTCTCCAAAGTACTAATAGTAAACGTTTTAAGCCTAATCACATTATTTTATGTTTAACTGTGTTAACTTTCATCTTGTTAGTCTCAATCTATTGCCTCAGAAAATAAAGATCTTTAAATGTCAATTCTGCCGGGCACAGTGGCTCACGCCTGTAATCCCAGCACTTTGGGAGGCCGAGGCGGGTAGATCACGAGGTCAAGAGATCGAGACCATCCTGGTCAACATGGTGAAACCCCGTCTCTACTAAAAATACAAAACAATTAGCTGGGCATGGTGGCGCGTGCCTGTAATCCCAGCTACTCAGG